TAGCTTTGTCCATCTTAGGTTTTTCTACTTTTGAATAAGTTTCATAGTTACCGAATGTGAAGTTTACACATCCGTAGCCATTGAAGCAATTCACGTAACGCGTCTCTCTAGATGTAACAAAAACATTCAAGATTCACGCACTCTCGGACACCTGTTAGAAAGCACGCCATTTTCTAATCTGACCGACTTGACGTAAACAAAAGATGAAATGAAAATTTGTGAATAATTGAAAATATTTACAAATTACAAGAAAATACAACATATTAATATAGATAATATATATAATATTACTGTTTTATATCACAGTAATAAATTGTAAAGGCAAAATAAAACCTATTTGTTAAACTTGTATGTGTATATATTACTACTGTTAATTTCTAGACTACGCCACATGCAATAAATTATCACTTATATTTTTTGCCAAAACTTAAAAATTCTTTGAATAATAATTTACTCATATAACACTCATATTTTAATGTATTCCATATAAAATGATATTTTTAATATTGTACATCAACATATAAATAGATATCATCTCCCTATGTGTAACGGAAGACACTATCTATACATAAAGCTTGAACGAAAAACTTGTTATGAAAGTGACAAGTGTGTGTACACACAACATACACATATATGTACATACATATTAGCGCAAGTCTGTCGTGTTTTAACCCACTTAAGTCTTATTGGAAACAACAGAGGTCTGTTCTAAGGCATAAGGTAATATACCTATATGGAGGTAGTTCTTCTAATCACAAGTCTAAAAACAGTGGGATTTAATATACTTATAAGCAAAAATTACTTTAAAATATGACTTTGAATAGATTTCCTCAAAAATATGGCGTTGTAAACCACTCGAATCAGTAAATATATTTCATGCTAGCGAGTTAATACTCGTAGATGTTAAAAATAAAAAATATATTTTTAGATTGACGTGTTGATTTTGGATCGGTGTACGTTATTCTATTATTTATTGTATCGTACTTATGAAATAAATCAAGATGAATGTTACTGAGATTTTATAAATAACCAGAAGGTATATTGCTTATTTATTTCATAGTTAACATAACTATGTACTTTGTTATTAACATACGTTATTTCTGACTGTAACAACGAATAGAATCATGCGCCAGTTTTATTTACTATGTCAATACTTATCTACGTATGCTGTCTTAACGTAGAGGCATAAAAAGTTAAACAGTGGAGTAGTGTGAGCGCGAAGTGGGCCATGAGCCCTCAATGGATATCGGAGACAGACGGCTGAGAAAGCTGGCTCATTGACATTTCGACTGGGCGTGGCGCTGATGGCATGATTGATTCCGCATTTACATACACTCATACAACTTTATTGTATTGCAATAAAATATGTCAAGTGATACATACAAAATATTGTTAGTATGTAGTGGTTAGTTACGCGTTGTCTAGCATTGCATTAAGCACCAGAAATCGATAGAGATAAAGATATTGGATCAAAATTATTCGCAAGTTTAGACAATTTGTTATTTGTTTCCATTGTTCTAGTTGCGAAATTAAATTAGATAGGTACCTACTTGATTTGATAATATTTATAAGAGTTAAATTAAATGTTTTGGAGAATTAAAATGAATAATTTTAACGGTTTAAATAGAAATCTAGTAAATAGTACTACTCGCGTAAGCTACAGACTATTTTTTGTAGGACTAGAAAATTCAATGGAAATGTATTCCAAAACGGGTTCCAAAGAGAATATATAAGCATTACTTCATCGAACATTATTGGAGAAAGTGTCTAAATCGTGTATCCGAATACATGCAAATGGGTGCTTCCACTATGTCGGTTCTCTTTTATTGCGACTACTACGTGATGGCAATTCAATTGATAAGACTGTATACACATTATCTTACCATGTCGTTAAAATACAGCATTATACTGCTATGGGAATTGAACTCAAGATATCTCGCTCTCTACAATTTGATTAAATAATAATCTGCGAAGGCGATAATTGGTACTAATAGACGCATTTGATGGTGGAGGAATTCTTATTATTAATAATACCCACATGTACTTTACATTTACGAGTAAATAAAGCTATTAGTTAAATCGATGTTAGGTAAATGATCTTCAAATTATGGAATTTTACCGAACTTGCGAAAATTACATTTTTGAAGCAACGTAGGTGTAACTTAAAAATCGAAAAGAAATTGATCGCACATCGCGCGAGAGCTTCATGTATAAATAAGTTGAAAAAATTGACGAAATCGTGTAGGACTCGGTAGCTCAATTGGTTAGAGCAACAGCACTAAACGCTGACGATGTCGGTTCAAGTTCTGTCTGAGTCGTAATTTTTTTTAATAGATTTCCGATTTTTAATTTAGATAGTGCCACAATGTGAAAAATATTAAGATTTTCAAATTTAGGTATACTTGTTTAATATTTATTTAAAGTAAGTAATAATGCTACTAGAGCAACGCATTTTCCACTTAACCAGTCTAAAGTTAAAAATAAAATCTTGTTACCCTATTTTTCTTACACAAAAGTTTAATTTTTTTTTTAATGAATGTCAAAACATGTTATAACTATCTTCTGACACTAGCGCGTTGAAATCTTTACTACGAAAGTTGTTACTCTTCTGCCAAAGATGTAACCGTTCTGATGATAGGTGATGTGTACTCCAAAACCAGATTGTGGAGATAATTTTCTAATTGATAAGGAGTGAAAGTTCAATAATTTTCTTCTTCAATTAATTAATATGTGTAATAAGATAATGATGTAAGACACAATGTAATTAACATATGAGCATATTACAAAGTTATGCATTACGTCACTGTCAATGCATCTTAGTTGATGACCCTAAAGATAATATTTTAGCGCAAAAGAATGTTGTAACAGGATCGAGACGACACCAGCTTTGCTAAACACGAATTGCGAACGTACTCGACCACTATTAATCTGCTGATCTTGTCTTTTCCTATAACTAATCTTGTTCTTAATATTATTATTTTATACTAAATTAAGAGTGTCTGTTTATATTTAAACTTATAAATTATTAAGGAGTTCTGTTAACCTTCAAAATAGCTATAATACACATATGTGTATTCAATGCCTCTCGTATTGGCAGGTTTTTAAACTATATTATCTTAAGGCATATTTCTCAGCAACTAAAGGATTTGTTCACTGGAAACACGTCACCATGTAGTTGTGTACTTACAGGTAAATAGCAGTCGTCTACAATGTGTATTCAATTATATCATAACACAGCACTCCACTGTCGTCACTATCAAACACTTATCAGCACTGATTTCTCAAAATTTCACACATATTTTTGTAATAAGGCTTTAACTGCGTACGGTGGAGTCGCGGCGAAATGAAACCTCAACTAATAAAATCCGAGGTTGCGCGAGCGCTTCGCATTCCACCGCCTCACCTAAAGTATGTCTACATTCCTCTACCACGTTCGATTTGAACGTGCAAGAATGAGATAGCATTAACGTAAGGGTGTATGGGTATCCCCGTTATGCACACAGGTAAGATTGTGATTGACGGTCATTGAAAATTATTGATGTAGATATACAAATAATTATTATAATAATTGATTGAATAATTTTTGCAACTTACAATCTTGGTGTTTTATTTTTTTTAAGAGGTAGATTTCATATTTTACATACTTGCCAATTTTACAAAATAGTTTTGAGGTCACAAGTTCAAAGTTCTGCTCGATTAGGTGTTTGCTAGAGATGATATGTTTTTACTTTTATTTATATTTACACATTGATTGATGTAGTTACACGTATTGTTATATTATCTATTACTTCACGTCTAAGTTAAACTTTCCGTAGAAACTAAATTATGTATTTACGGACTAAATTATTTGAAACTACTAAAACTATAATAGATTAGCTTAGTACAATATTGTTAATATAAACATAATCTAAAATACACTAACGACAATCAACGAATTGAAAGAGAGTTTACGCAGTCTCATAACTAGCGATGTTAGCATTTTCCAAACAGAAACTATCGAGCTCTTCGACGATTAAATAAACATAATAAAAATATTATATAAAATATTTACATAATAATAATATGAATTATTTGATAATGGAAAAAAGTTTACACGCAAAGCTTCATCTGGATAAGAAAGAAGGCAAAAGACAAGCAAACAGGAAACTATTAGGGCATTTTTTATTTCTTGAAATTTAACATTAATATGTAATAAAAAATAATGTAACTAAAAAACTGCTTTCCTAAATTTTCATTTCACTCTATGGTAAATTGTTCGCGACCGGCAAAAATGATAGACAGACATTTATAATTATAAAATTATACTGACTAAAGAAATATTATATTTTTCTTTATATTAAACAATATTCATATCATTTTAATTTTTCCATAAATTTATAAATACTTTCGTTAATCACTATCAGCAGTTTTATATATAGAGTCCGATTTTTATTACGACCTTATTCATTATTATTTAAAGAAAAATAAATGAGTTCACAAGCACCAAAGCCCACAATGAATCTATTTTTATTTAAAACTATCTGATTATTTCCTTACTTTGCCATAAACTTTCAGCGACTTTGCCCGAATTGTTTATCTGTGGTTTTACTCTTATTATTCTCGTTTGGGATTACCAGGCCAAAAAAATGTATTAAAAAAAGAATCTTGTTTGGAAAGTTTGATGTGTATTGTTGTGTATTCTTTAGATATCTTAAATAGTAAATAATAAACATTTTAAAGTTCCAGCTGTGTTCAAATTGTATGTAAGTGACGTATAGTGATGTACATTTTTTACATTATAAGTTTGCCTCGTGCGTTTAAATTTAAAAATAAAGCATTCAATGTGTTGATAGCACGAACACCACATATATTATTCAAAATATATGTTATATAAACAGCTCTTTAACAATCAGTTTCAGCAACGACGCGGCTGAGTTATGCCGAAGGTACGTCGAAGCCGTAAACCTCCACCAGAAGGATGGGAACTCATTGAACCAACACTTGAAGAATTGGAGCAAAAAATGAGAGAAGGTACGTGAAGGTGCCGTTAGTACCACAAAAAGCAAGCAATATAAAGGTCTATTCTTTTGTAAAACCCTTAACTTATTGTTGTTAATAAGATGTAATTTTTAACATTCCAGCCGAGACAGAGCCACATGAAGGAAAACGGAAGCAAGAATCTTTGTGGCCAATATTCAAGATACATCATCAAAAGTCTCGATACATTTATGATTTGTTTTATAGAAGAAAAGCCATAAGTAGAGAACTTTATCAATATTGCCTCAATGAAAAAATTGCAGATGGAAACTTGATAGCCAAATGGAAAAAGACAGGTTATGAAAATCTTTGCTGTTTAAGATGTATTCAAACAAGAGACACAAACTTTGCTACCAATTGTATATGTAGGGTACCCAAAAGTAAGTTAGAAGAAGGGCGAATAGTGGAGTGTGTTCATTGTGGTTGCAGAGGATGTTCAGGCTAGCTTATGTTGTATTCTATAATGATAATAGGCATATTTCACTAAACTGGCTAATGGCTGGTTGGTATTGTTCAAATGATATGCAACTAATAATTACATTAATTTTAAAATTGAATTAAACTATGTTTTTAAAGAAAATTGGTTTTATATGATGCCATTTATGCACATGGACAAGTGCCTATACTAGTCTATACAATTATTGTGACTAAATAGTCACCATACTAATATAACACAATAAAACACAATTACATTTTACAGTTTATTAACATAAATACGCTTCTGATAAAATTTAAACAAACAAAAAAGGAACTGCAAAATTTTAAAAAGCTAACCTTACTTTGAAATCACAACCACGAATTATTAATTATCTTACTTATATAATATTATTCTTAAACCTAGACAATTGTCTTGCCATAGAGGAACTGAATGTTATCTTTAAAGTGACTAAAATTATCTATAAACATTTTCTACAAAGGGTTAACTATATCATAAGAAACTTAGAATTTTATAAAAACTAAAAATTGAGATCCATTAGAAAAAAAAAAACGAAAAGTGCCTTCTTACTGACAGTGCCTAAAATATTATTTTTATATTGACTTAGACTAAACCATCAGAGGTTTACTTTCTAAATTCTTAGAAAGTTCTATGATTAAGTCCTTATATATAGTAGGATTCATATTTTTGCCCAACATATGCAATATAAACCAATCTCCAAAACTAACACGCCTAATTATATTTGCAACTATACTGTACTTTACATACCTGACATGGCCTACAATCAAATAAGTGCGGAGTGGAGGGAAAGAAAGAACAAGTAATCTAAATAAGACAGCAGTTAAAGAGATAATTGAGAGGAAAATTAGCCAAAACCAAAGCACTACAAAGATCTTTTCATTTACAATATTTAAAGGTAAAACGCACAGTCTGTCTTTAATCTGTATAGTTCCAGATGGACCATAACTTCTTATAAAGCATTTAGTTAGTTTAGGGAAGAATTCATCCATAGGATTAACAGATGCATAGTCCATGAAGTCATTAGGAACTTGGGGTGTATGAGAAAATGCTGCTACAGCTGCACCATAATTCCTGAAGGCACCACCAAGAAACATGTCCAATAAGAAAATGTGACCAACCTGTAAAATAATCCTTATTAATAACTGTTATTCTAAGCAAAATCTTTAATGTTCATTATCCCTATATTAAAAAAAATATATAACTTACAACATTAACAAGATTTAGAATTTCACAAAACATGTAGCGTAGGGCATACATGTTATGTGTGTACACATTGGTGTGGGTGAGATACGCTACCAGCTCACCACGGCGTGACTCTGACCAGTCTTTGGGTGTCAATGGACTAGCTGTAAGTGTATGTTTGTTTTAATTTTGATGAACTTACAAAAAAGAAAATTGAATTATTAAAGTTGCAAAAAAAATTGTCACACTATTATTATCATGTAAATTGAAACCTAAAATTGGTACCTAAATCAGATGCCAATCCCTTTAAGCGACCCCCTTCCCATATCTTCCAGAGATAACGAGGGGTGTAGAACATCATAGCCTGTCCAAGCAAAACAAAACACACCCATTGGTAATAAGTGTGTTTTAATTGTTCATTGTTTTCTCCTTTTTCTGGCCCAATACCAAGATATGCCATGTGCTTGCCTTCTATGCCTGAAGTGTATTAGACAAGTTAAAGAATATTTTTATTTTGTTTAAAAGTCTAAAGTTACTATTTATTCTATTCTATACCATTCAGGACTATACCAAATATTGCCTTTAGTCCGAGAGGTCTGAACTTTAAACTCGAATGACTTCTATTTTTTAGCACCTCCAAGACAATTAACGTTGTCGATACCAAAAACCTTTTAGTGGAATAGATACACTCACCTGTAAATCTACTTCTCAATGTGTAAGTTCCATATATCCAACAGTAGTTGTTAATAGCTTCCTTATTGTCATCAGATTTTTCCTGCGTCATGCAGTGGATAGGATCGCCGAAAAACTGTTTAGATGTTACCAATAAAGTAAATACTAGCAACATAATAACTGTCGCTTTGTAGTGTAAACGAAACACATTGTTATCGGTACAAACACTGCCAAATTTAAAGAAAGATCTGATAGGCAGAAACACGTCTATCATGATGTATTTTTAATGTTTTCACAAATACCAAATATGTATCTAAATGCGGCGAGGTACAACAGACAAGAATTACTATAAAGCTACCATATACCCACACTATCTTCTTATAGGTATTAACTATTTAAATGATTACACAACTTTAACTCAATCAAAATTATATAGAAGATATGCAGAAAAAATGGACGACGTTTTTGGTTATATTTTTGAAAATTTTTACCGTTTTTACTATCTATCAATAAACCGATTTATACAATTATATACCTATACATAACAAATATTTCATATATGCCGAGTAACAGACTATGACAATTAAAAATAGATTAATAATTGTAATATCTATAGATAAATGATCACGTCATAATATTTTTTTTAAGATTTGGCCCCCTTTGTTGTACAGAAATGTTTTACATCGCTAATACTATTAAAAATTTAATAAAAGTACATGATTTTTAATATTAATTACGGAAGACTATTGCGATAAGAATATGGAATACTTAAATAGGCACAGTTATTTTTTATATATTTATAGTTCTCCAATTGTTACGACTTCTGTAAAATTGTCCAAACGCAATGTGACGACTATGCAGATATATTTAAAGTAATCTGTGGTCGCAATTCTTATTACTAATAACATGTTCCTAGTTTTCATTCATTAAATCTGTGTTTACTTTTGTTTAATCAGTACTACCCACATTTTGTGGATAGAGTATTTTGTTGTCTTTTTTTATAATATCCATAATAATTTCTCTTTTAAATCGATTTTTTGCTGTGGCTTTTTAAAAACTACGATGACCACTTCTTTAACAGAGTCAGGTATGAATATACAATACTTTTTTACAATAATATCAATATTAACAGTTACTTACACGCTCCTTGATCTTCTTGTATTGAGAATTACTATTTGCCGTTAGATTTTCCTGTCTGTAGAAACATTTTTAATAACCATTTATCTATATACTTAAGGCTTATACGAGCAATCAACTTATATAAAAGCTTTTAATCGGAATTGCCTCGATTATTTAAAAGGTTTGTATGTTTATCTCCCATCTACAAAACGCGACGTAACAGACACCGGTTCCTGTAGTAGTTTACCTGATTTGGTGATAGAATTCTATAATCCCCGTCAAGATGACGATGATCCCGAAGAATATTATTTAGAATTAGAAGAACGTATGAAGACACTCTTTATGCTTAATGAACACCAAGACAGTTTATCCTTTGGCAGTTCGCCCTTCAGTGAGGACAGGCTGTCTACTTATATGGAAGTTTCTGCTAAAAATCAAGGTAACATCTTATTATATCTCCTAGTATTTGCGTAATTTATTTATTTTTTATTTTTAGCTAATTAAACAAATTTCATAGCCGTAGATACAGAACAATCGCCACCCAGAGACACGCCAGAAACGATAAGACGCGTCTCTAGCCTTCATAGATTAAGCGAAGATTTCTACACTAGCTGGGGTGGTACCAAGAGGCCAGCATCAGTTGATTCGTCTAAGCAGTATTCTCCAACACATTCGGAGTCAATGTCTTCAATGAAAAGCATACCTAACGATGACACTCTCCGACAATGTCACGGCTCGTCATCGTCGCAGAGAATGTCAAACATCGATGAACAAATGTTCCCTTTATTGGAGTCCCCAATAAAACAAAAGAGAGCAGCGCTACGAGACTCAGTGCCAAGCGGACAAATACAACACAAATCGCCAGTAAAACGAGACACACCTCCCCAACGACCAAAACAACGCTCGATTGGTCAAAGGTATGTTGCCTCCACACCGGAAAAACGATTAAATAAGATCTCATGTCAGTGTATCAAAAGTAGATCACAGTCATCAGCAAAAACCTCAAGGTATCCAATATCAACAAGATATACTCATAGTTACAGGTCTTCACATGTAGACAAATCCCCTCGACGTAAGATATTTAAAAATGTGGCTGTTCAAACTAGTCCAGTACCCACTCTTAGTAGTTTTTGGTCAAATTTATTTATTGGAGAACCTGTGATATATGATTATGTTTCACATTTATAGGTAGCAAAGAACTATTGTTTATTGATATGATCACTTATGTAAAATGGCCTAAGCTATTATTATATACGAAATGTACTAGGAATAAAAACTGACTAAATTAATAAAAATGTAATTTCTCTATCACGATATATAAAGGTGTCCACAGCGACGATTCCAGTGTTGAATATTGATCATATTTTGTTATTTAGATTTAGCGATGTTTTTTAGTAGTAACTTATTGAAAAATACAATGTGTATTACGAAATATATTGTTTTTATTTATCTAAATATATCACGCACATTTTGTATGAGTTGTTTAACTACGAGATCTTCTGTACCGTAGCCGGCTGAACGCATATGACGCGAAACACTCCAAACACACTGAAATAAAATTATATATCCATTACTTCGTTGATACAGCTTCTCAATTCATCTAGATTCCAGTATGTTCCATAATAAGGAATACATTGTAAATATACATTTTCAAACAGGCTTCCATTTATCAAAACAATTTAATTACATGAGAAGTTAATTGTTTGATTGATTATTATTAGAATACTAGCTGATCTTGTGAACTTTCTTTTGTCATATGAAGTCTATTGATTAAAACTTGATTACCATTAAAATACTTTTGCAGACATTTATCTTCACTCCTAATGGTCGCAACCTGATGTTTTATAGTTTAGAACCTTCTTCCATAAATACCAATACGAAAACGATATTTTAAATCGAACCAGTAGTTCTTGAGATAAATGCGTTTAAACAAACCAACATTTTCAATTATATAATATTCGTTCTATGTTTAAATAAGTACCTTATCCAAGTAACTGACGCCAGTATGAGGACAGACACCATTATTCATATCAACGCTGTGCTCTGTTCTTTCTACACCAAGCAATAGGTCTTTCAAACCATGTACATAATGTGACAGACTCTCCAATGTGAGATCTGGAACAACTTTGACATCTAGCTCATACCCTATTGGCGTGTCTGTGTCTTCTTCCATGTCTTCAACACGAAAGCACCTAAAATTAAATGTTATTTAAATTACATTAACAAAAGTTTCGTGATTACATGACAACATTACATGATTTCAAAAATAATGAAATATTATGTATTAGGAATATTAAATACATGTGTATAGTGTATTTTTTCTACTTTCATTCTGTAATAAGCCATCACTGAATCTCTCTGGTTTCAAATCGGCCATATTTGTTGTGGTCTTGTGCCAAGTTAGAAAAAATACACTATACTATAAAGTAATTATTTTCTCAGTAATATATTCTGCACGTACCTAAAATGCGGTGCAGAAGCAGGCGAGGTAAGGAGTGCGAAGAATGGGATCTGCCACTCAAGCGCAGCCTGAAGAGACCGCTGGGTATTTAGGTCTCGATGAGAAGGTAGCGCAGGGAAATGAGGATGGGAGTGGTGCCAGCCGCACACAGTTAGACCTTGTGACGTCAGGTGCTCGCCGGCGGCCGCTTGCGATACTGAAATTTAACAATTGGCTATATTTATCGTGGAAACTATGATGTAATCTAAAATCTATTGAAGGAAAATCAATGAAAACGACGTTAGTGTTATGGTAGCAATGTATGACTAATAAAATATTTGCAAATAAGTGGGTTCAAACCCCACCAGGTCCACCATTTTTCTTTATGATATAGAAATCGATATTAAATGGATGGAAGGATTATCAAAATTCATCCAGACCACAACACAGCAGAACCACAGATAAAAAAGCCATCAAGTATAATTACGTTTCGGTTTTAGTATCCTAAGTTAGTCCCTTATTATACGAACCGTAATGCACATATAAGCATATGAACATATAAACATATTTTTACAAACATGCAGCATTGTGTCAAAATTTGAGTATGTAGTACTTGTTAAATGTTATATACCAGGGTCCATATCGCAGTGAGTACTGTTAGCAGCTGCTCTGGCAACTGCGTATGCGCACATCAGTACTCCCGACGCCACTTGCCGTCCACCAATAAGGCCCATTACCTCGGCTTGTGATGTATGTGCGTGAATGTCCATACTGAGTAATACTGATACATTTAATTCGATCTCACAAGGTGCCTGTAAAAAAAAAATCTAGTGATGGTTTACATATTTAAGTGAATTTTATAGATATTGACTTTGATATGTTTGTTATAATTCTTTCTATACTTTGTGCAACTAAAAAAGGAATTTCATCTTTGTGGGGCCGGTCATGCTTAAAGACGAATGTTTATATAATAGTAATCATATTTTTCACTTTAATAAAAAATATATAATTGTTGTGCTTTTGTTTTTGTGTTTTGGCCAACCATAAGAATTTATGCCGACCGCCTCAGTAGACAAATGGTTAAACGTGTTGCCTAACATCGCCTTAAGCGCGAGAGGTCCTGGGTTCGAATCCTAGGCAAACATAAAATTGTTTCGTTCGGGCAGGGCACAGAAGTCTGATCAACTACTTGCCCGTTAAAAGAACGGATTAGTGAATCGGACACATGAATGTGTTCGCCCCATGCCCCACGAGGGGGAAACGGGCTTTCACTTTTTTTTATAAGAATGTTTCCCAGAAATACAATATGTTAGTCATGAAGGCAGCCTCCTTTGTTCATGCATTGATAAAATAAAGCTTATACATACTGGTTTATCGATTCCATATTGTTTGCAAATGTTGAGCTGTATAGTAGGTTTCCGAGGTTGCCTCTCTTTACGGGGTTCGGTACTGATTTCATACACATCTCCAGCTTCAGTGTGCAAAATCCGGTAACCTCCACCACCATTCTGAAAGTTGTTTTAAATTCATTCATAAACTAATTAGATTTTTTAAAATATAACATGGACATTATTTCAACCGGCATCCACAGTGTACTGTGTTGCAGCTCTAACTAATTGAGCTACCTAGCCTACACATCATTGTCGAAATTTTTTCAACTCATTGATACATGAACTTCTCACGCAATCTAACTTACAAACCTAAGCTTTTGACTGATTTAAATTTACTACTAAGTGAAAATTTAAAAAGAATTACCAAATTAATTTTTCTTCTTCGCTTTGGGAAATCAAGTTTTCTTATTGGCTCATCTATGGGAGTCTTAGCCAATTCTGGCACTCTTGTGGTAGCATTAGTGAAATTCCTAGGCAATTGCTCTGTATCACTATCTATGTCAATCTCTATATCACTCTCTTGTTCAGAGTCTTTCTTCTTTTCAATTTTAATCTGAAAGAATATATTTGTGAATATAATAACTAGTATTATATCTTAAATTCAAAGTTGTATGAAAGTATTCAGATACTATAAATTACTTATAGTGTCAACAGCACTGTAGAGCCTTGTCTAAGCAATAAATACCAAATATACTTACAACTTCTTCCCCTTCAGAAACATGTAAAGCTTGCCCAGATCCCAATACAATTTGCAATTTGGGACTCATCTTTGTACTATCCTCAGACAAACTAGAGTCATTTCTCTGCCTTGCTGGAGATTTCAACTCTTTGCTTTTATTTCTAACAGTAGTCTTATCATAGTTCTTAGATACCTTTCTCCTATGATTGCCAATTTTTTTAACAGTTTTCATCTTTTCTTTCTGTTTTAAACTGTCCAAGTTGGAATTGTCACCAAATTTGGTATGTAAATTAGTCTTCTTTCTAATAAATTCTTTAGGTAATGTTACTGTTGGAGAGGCAGTGGTTACCATTGTAATAACATCTGATATAGAGACTATGTCATCTGTGACAATCTCTTCTTGACCAACATAAGGTAAAAGATTTGGATTATCATGATCCTGCACTGTATCCAAATGAATACCATGCTCTGCTTGAATTAAAGCCTCAATTTCTGCACAGGTTTTTGATGTTAATGATTGTGAAATTGCTTTAACATTCCTTCCATGTTTAACCTGGAAATATTTATAATTAGTATTAAGAAAACTCTTAAGCTTCAATAAATTAAGGAAGGTAGGCTTAAAATAGTAAATAAAAAGGAAAACAAACCATTTCCTTTTTAAGAATCTCTCTTTCTTCATGACTCCATACAGTATGTTTTAATTCATTTTCTGTTTTACAAGCTTTTGTTCCAGAGAGCTTTCGAGATGGTCCCTCTTTAGACCTATGTAACAATAATATATTGAATAGTAATAATATTATTATACCCCAAATATTATACAAAACATAGCAAAATGTACAATTTATTATTATAATTAGACCTATACAAAACGAAGTATACCTATTATTAGTCTTGGTATCATACCAGTTTGGAGCTGGAGAATCTAACAACCATTGTGGATGTACAGTGTCTTCTCTGCTAGAACATGAGGGGCTGGAGAGGGAAAACGCATAATATACACATAATGTAAACACTAACAATGTTCATAATATTGAATCCTTGAATCATTTAAACCGGGTAAAGGTATAAAAAAAAAGAGCAAAGTAGTGAATTAACCAATGCACAAATATTAAGATTTATTCTCTTACATTCCTTGGTTATTTTGAGCAAAGCAGGAATTAAAAGAAAAATCTCCAAGAATATCAATTTCGTCTTCTTCCGCCATTTTGTTTGTGTTCATTCCTTATTTAGATTTTACTGTTACATGTAGTCAACCTTTAATCAATGTCATAGCGACAGGTGACACTTATAGTAACAGCACATTAAATCTGTTACATCTGTCAATTATTATCTGTCAAGAACACCAATGATTTATGATTAAGGAAAACAACAAATTACAAACAAACAGTTGGGTAATATAAAATAAGAGAAATCTAATAAAAGACTAAAAGTTTATAATAATACTAGACATACGTTCTAACCAGGCTTATCAGTGCAGCCATTTGACGACCACTTAATAATCGATCTTTGCCGATGAGTATGTTATCATACCGTTAGACCTTGGTCAGCCTGTTGATCAATGTTGATATTGTGTTTGATAAAGTTAGCTTTCACGAATAGTAGTTTTTGACACCTGACGGCTTTAATTCGATATTGCTAAAACAGTGAGTTAATATCTCTACTGAGTATTCAACTCGTAGTTATCGCTTGGACACCAAACCGGCAACCTAATTTTTATATTCATCTAATGATAAAAAATGATTAACGCGCTGTGCAAATTAGGTTCTCGGACTAAATCATTGCCACTGAGATTCCTTTCAGTATCTGCCATACATAATGCTAATCACTCGTAAGTGTTTTATTGATATTACAATATTATTATACTTACTAGATTTACATTCTAAGTTAGTTTATTGCGGTAGGTCAGTTCTTTATCCGTTATCTATTATAGCTTTTTCATGGACCTAATATGAAATTTGGCTGATAAAAAACTAATGTAGTTTCTTTTATAATTTAAAAATCGAAAATAAATTGAAAAAATTTTCTCGCAGGACTTGAACCGGCGTCGGGAGAGGTGAACCGGCATCGTCGGCTTTCCGTGCTGTTGCTCAGCTTTCCGTGCTGTTGCTCTACCAATTGAGCTACCGAGTCCTACACCTCATGTCGATTTTTTCAACTTATTGATACTTTTCAACTTAAGGTTTTGTTTCATTTCATATGCAATTGCAAATTGTAATTAGTAACTTTGATCACCTCATGACCTTGACATTCTTACTAGTTGGATCTGTTATTCTACATAGAATATAGAAATTGTGGTGTATAAGATATGTTCTTTAGTTTTTTCTTTTTAACTTTTCTTTTGTTTTCAGTTGCAAATTATTAGTAATTGGAGGTGGTTCTGGTGGGTGCACAATAGCTGCTAAGTTTGCAAGAAGGCTAAAGAAAGGGTCCGTTATTGTTTTAGAGCCAAGTTCTGTAAGTAACACATTAAAAACTAAAATTTTAGAACATTGACAGAATTAATTGTAGGGAATCGTTTAAATCCCCATAAGACATTTAATTTACAACTGTAAAAGTTTGTTTTGTGGATCACCTTGCATTAAACAAGAAGGATTGAAGTGAATAATTCCTATGTGAACTACTCTTCTCATTCTTTCTTTTAAAGTCTGTCTTTATCATCACTGGTTGAAAAAATTCTTTTAACTTTATCACCTTCATAGTTTTATATGAAATTTTCTAAGATCCTATAGTAAATGCAACTTTTTATTGGTTGTTACACTTTTTTAACAAAAAAGTTGTCCCGTTACTAAACTATGAAAAATAAAACAAAGATAATATGTGTATAACGAAAATATAATATAGACACACCTCTGCTTTAGTTACTCAATACTTAATTAATTAGTAATAGTGATTTTCGTTACTATAATGACGTGAATCTGTCTTTTCCACTTCGTATTGAATTTTGCAAGTCATATTGTTCACATAGGTAGGATTACGTAATGTCCAATGCTGCATCACTTACAATGATCGCTACAAATAATTCGACAAGTGTTGATAACAAATACAGTCAGCAACAGCAGTGGTAATCTATACTAATATTATAAAGAGGATTTGTATTTTTGTATGTAATGGATAAACTCAAAAGTACTGGACCGATTTGAATAATTATTTTTTCATTAGAACTAGCTACATCATCACTGAGTAACATAGGCTATATTTAGTACTTGATTACTATAGGCATCTATAGAAATTCTTACTAAAACCAACGGAAGGCGTAAAAAAATTAGCCGTAAAATGTCTCTTCGCATACGCTGTGAAAAATATTAATGATAGGATAAAAACATGTTCGACAATATTATAGAATATATCAACATCTACAAAAACATCGCGAGAGCATGTCTAACTATTGTAGTTACGTCGCTATAACTACTTTTTTACATTTAACAAATTAACAGAAATGCCGATCAAAATCAGACCGTGTTATAATTTTTTATCCAAATAAATAATTTAATATTCAAGACTGTCTCAATACCTGATGATTACTTTTTCATTACTGAAATCGGACATTCCATTCAAAAGATATCATGAAGTTAAAATAAAAATACATGCTGGCGGCCGCCATGCCGCGCATCGAGTAACTAACTCGACGGAAGGGGCAGTGGGCTCCTTACGCAGTGGACGCGACCGATACCTTTCCGACCGATTATCTATTTATGTCTACCCGTGCGAAGCCGGGACGGGCCGCTAGTATTTTATAATTACCTTATCTATGTTATCTTAAACTATATGGCGAATATATTGTATATAAACATTCATTGCTGACTGTACTGTATACGTCGTAAGTACGATATCTAATCAAAAAAATTCTGAATAGTTTTTTTTAATATAAGTATTACATCACTGTCTATGCTTGTATTGGTGACAAGCTAAGTTATTAGCGTTGGTTTCGTAACTCAATGACTCGACAAAGGAGTGTTGTTTTATTAGCAAGCACCTACTTTTGTAATAATCAATATAACCGGCTTCTCCCCTGTATCCTCTAAAAAATAATTATTTAGGATTGTATCCAACTACCGCCCAATAATAAATAAACAACCATCATTTTATTAGGCTCGTTGGTGTAATGGTAGCATTCTACGGCTAAGAAGGGTTCGAATCCAATCGGGTGCAAAATTTTTCTAATCAGTGTATAATTTTTCTGAAATATGACTTCGTCGGGAAATCTAGATATTAGATGGGTGGTAAAAATATCAAAATTCCGTCCGGACGAAACACCCTCCACAGGTAAAAAGTGAAGTTAAATCACGTTTTGATTTTTGTGTCTTACCAAGCCAAAATGGGTCGACAGCCCATCTTGTTTAGATGTTATATGGCTGGGGTATTTCCCTACATCAAGTGACCGTCATACTTGTTTGTTCTTTTCTATCATATAAAACGTATACGTTAAGATAATCAATCTTTCAGGACCATTATTATCAACCCCTATTTACTCTGGTGGGTGCTGGAGTGACCTCCGTCGCCGCTACCAGGCGCAGTGCGAAAAGCGTGCTCCCGTCTAATGCCACTTGGTTAAAGGACACAGCGCAGAGCATAGACCCAGAGAAAAATGTGGTTAGAACAGCCGAGGGTCATGAGATTCAGTACGAGTACGCCGTCATAGCTGTGGGGTTGCAATATAATTATGATAAGGTAAGCGTTTGAAAACATTGAATACTTGATAGCATTTTCTCCGAGCTACTAAGAATACAATTTAATCATTTTTTTGAAATGTAAATGTATGCCTGTAGCTTATAAAATAGATTAAATAAAACCCTCTTAGCGGGTTAAAACGCGCCATACATTAGTTATTCAATGTTTACCGTCGTCGCGGCTTATAAATATCATCAAAGATACCGGTTTGTAGATAAAATCATTAAATCAATATGGTTTTTGTTTTAAACCGTTATATAATGTTTACGTTATTACTTCTGGTTTACGAGCATGTGTTGCTCTGCGTAAACCAATCGCACGTCATGTGCCCGAGACAAGGCTATATTTTATAAAATTAGTTATCACGCCGGCATCGGCACTCCAATGACGATTTCCGTTTATATTTACGACGAATGACGATTTATATTTACGATATTATGTAAGATACATTCAAAATTGCTTCATCACGCTATGTTCAGAAGACGCGATGCTGTGAACCTCAAGGCTTTTAGGATCTATACAAAATACAATACATATGTTAGCGATTGGACTCAAATACAGTACGAAATCTGGCTCGTTGGTCTAACTTATTGCTTAAAACCAACGAAGCGAGGCCGAGGGTTTGATTCCCACTGGAACTTGTCTTATAAATCAAATTCATAGGCCCCTTTTAGCAACTTCTTTTCTAGTCAACGTTTAATGGAAATATCAGTGATATTATAAATCAGCGTTTTCGTTTTATTCCTCAGATTTTCAAGTACCCAAAGACAAAAGACTCGGATTCATTGAGATCATCCAACCAATTAATCCCACGCTTGTCGTCCATTGTAAAAATAATTCTTGGGTATTGTTTAAAACCCAGTCAGTGCCTTAAATAAGTCATCTCCTTCATTGAAATTCAGAATTACATATAAAAAATAAGGTACTAAATACTACTTACAACTGCACTCATGCAAAACTAATAAGTATTAAATTTTAAAGAAATACGAATCAGTTATACATTACTGTTTATTTGCGGTTGTCAGCGTGCATTTTTGCACAGTTTCTTCTAATGGGATTGCTTGGGTACTCGGAGAAAGTTTGCATTATGAGATTCGGTGATATGTTAACGCGACTACAAAATGATGCGACCCTCGATCTTGTGATCGCGTAAAAGTCCGATACCATTGCCTTAGCGAACATGCCGGACATATATACTTAATGATTTGGTAACAAAAAAGAATCTTGCGACTCCTTACATTTTGTAGTCTAATAACCTATAAAATAAATAAAATAACCGATTTTATTATTTGAAACCAACAAATCAATACGTACTTGATGTATATTTCGATGTTGTTCTAATATTTGTTTATTTAGTTACTATGTTTAAATAAATGAAAATACTCTGCTAATTTTATTCACCTTGTGCGTTTAGGAAGACAACCGTTTTTTATCACTGATTTGGTATTGTTATGGAAGTTCTGTAATGACGTTGTATTTAAATGAAGGCTAAAACATTTTTAAATAACACGAGAAGAAATAGAGACGTATTTGTATGTGACGCTATGTGTCATTCTTAAACTAAAAAAGTTTTGAGGCAATTTTGATTTCAGTTGTGCAATGTTGACATCACAAGTTAGTCCTAATTTTAACACTAAGCGCCTCAACATTACATAATATTGTAAGATTTTTGCAACACAATTAACCATTATTGAATAATGCATATCATTCCTTTCGCGGACTTTAGTTTTGAACAAACTTTTATCATAAAAATTAAATTATAGCATAAATATATTTTTAGTAACAAAATTAAAGACCTTTCTATAGAAACGAAACATGACGTTTGAAAACAATCAATTGAATATGTTCACAGCTTCCCTTGATCAGTTTAACTAGTGCTTTACGCTGCGATAAGAGAAAGGTCTTGTTTTAAACCCGGAGGAAATTAATAGTATTTTTATCGGGTTTTTATCCAAAAGTCATTGAGTCTTGTCAATGAGACACCAATTGTGTCCGCCCTATGGACCACGTAAGAAATATGAGATATCACACAATAAAGACGGTCATAATGGGTGCCACGACATATAAAAATTCCAGACCGGAAGTCACAGAAAGCTTCAACGTCACAGATGAAAAAGCATGAAAAGCCACAATAGATCGACAGCGCATTTGTTTAGATTCTAGAGGCTGGAGTAATCATCAATCAGTCAAATAGATCCACAAGCCATGCTGTCCTCCTCTAAAAAAAGTCATCAAACAAAAGTCATCTTCTCTGTCATAAGTTGAACTCATTTGCAATCGGTACATCTGAAATATGATTATAGGTGCCCGGACTTCGCGATGCCCTGAACGACAAAGGAAGCGGAGTATCCACCATCTATTCTCCAGATTACTGCGAGAAAACATGGTCGGACCTGAAAAACTTCAAGGGAGGCGAAGCCGTCTTCACGTATCCAGACACGCCCATTAAGTGCCCTGGCGCACCGCAAAAGATTGCGTATATGTCGGATGCTTATTTTGATAAGGTAATTATGATTATACAAATTTAACTTCGCGATAATAGTAGTGGTGGCGAGTTTCTTGCCAGTTCTTTTCATTTGCCCCTGCTTTGAGAACTGGTGGTAAATGAAAATTTTGAGTCTTAAATTTTTTAACTGGCGTGACGTCCATAAGTGTAAAATATAAATAATATATAATAATAATATGCGGCAATAAATAATTTTTGATTTTTGACTTATGTATAGTCACCAATATGGCTTTAACAGCTCATTTTAAACTCATTGTATTGTCGTTGCAGTTCGTTAAAGAACACATAAATATTTCGCTGCTAATACTGCTGAGGATAACACAGTTGTTTTCGTTAATTACAAATACATATATGTTATAGTATAGCAGTGATATTGTATGAACAATATATCAATAATAAGTCCTGAACAATTGGTCATTGTCTTGTGCAGAGCAGTGATTTTATCATTATTATAAATTCAATGCTTCCTTGGTCTATTGATTGGTATACTGCAGATCATAAGGTCTCGAGTTTGAATCCTGGGTTTGGCGAAATGTTACTTCGGTATTTGGAATGTTGCTATGCTTGGAGTTTGACAATCCATAGTGGCGGCGGTTAAGTCTTCCGACCCACACTGGAGCATGGTGGGTCAAAGCCCAGCTGTGGAACATTTATAGCTTGTAATAAACAAACGAATACATGATTTCATTGTTTTTGTTTTGTATAAAACATTTTGTTAAAACAATCTTGCTCTGGGCTATATTTGATTTTCTTGTTACAGACAAACATAAGATCTCGAGTAAACATTACCTACAACACACATCTGCCGGTAATATTCGGTGTGAAGAAATACGCAGATATTCTTATGAAGGTGGTGAAAAAACGGCGAATCAATGTCAACTATAAAACAGTGTTGAAAGAGGTTCGCGCGGACAAGAAAGAGGCTGTTTTCTTCAACGCAGATGATAAGTCAAAGGTAGTGCAAGCTAGTAGAATATAAAAGTTATTATTATCGTGTACCATGTGAGATCCTTGGTTCGAATCCCGGGGAAATATTTAGTTTCGATCGGATAGGACTCGAGAGTCAAACGGATCAAACTATTTGCACGTATATAATATAGATCAGTGAAAGGGCAATAAAGTGTGTCTGCGTTAAGCCCCAAATACAGGGAATTAATGAATTGTTTCAAAGAAAGTTCAAAAACAAGTATTTTTTATTTTTGTATGAACAAAATTTATTTAGTTCGAAAAATTTTGATCACACGGGCGATTTTCGAACTGGCTAAATCATATATCACCGGATTCCGTGCTCTTCTAGCCTAACGGCCAATTATACGGTAACTCAACTGGAGTTACCGTATCGGCAAACTTATAAATTAAAGTATGTATATAGAAAATATGTAAAAGTTTTTAATTAATAATAAACCTTTTTGTCTGTCTATGTACTACGAAATTTTCTCACAAACGACCTCAAAATGTATATTATTTACAGTTAATTACACTTCCCTACGACATGTTACACGTTACACCGCCGATGTTCACACCGGAGTTCCTTCGCAACAGTGCAGACATTGTAGATGCGGCTGGTTTCCTTGACGTGGATAAGTTCACTCTGCAGCATCGTAAATACCCCAACATATATGGGATCGGTGATTGCACGAATACGCCCAACAGTAAAACCGCTGCGGCCATTGGTAAATATTTCTGTTTTAAATCGTTTTCATTATATAAACCAACTTTAACGGTTTCAAACTCGAAATTTTTAGGGCAAAAATACATTAATATAATGTACTATAAATTCGACATCAATATGGTTTGACCTATATAATATAATAAGTTTTAATTATAATAAAAAAAAAAAAATGTGCACAAATGTTTAATGCCCAAGGATCAAAAAGATCTTATTATACATATTCTTATTATACATATCTTATTATACATGTCATATGTCTGAAGAATACATTAAGTTCTCCACCGTCACAAAAAGTGAACATGTTGAGAATAAAATATTCACAGTTCTAACAAACAACGCTTTAATGTACAAAAAGATCATTCAGATAAAGTGGTAAAGCTTTTGCAATTTGGATTTAGGTAGTTTTGTCTTCCTAATGTCAAAGTCAAAACTGCTACGTTAGCGCCATCTGTTTCGTCGAAACCGTGTGAACTGTGCGAAAGGTAGGGACGTAGTTAAGTCAAATTAAAAAGAAGTTTACTAATACTTCGCGGTTTAAACGGTTATAAGTGTTTTATTTGAATGTCTACTCGCGTAAACTTCTCATCTAGTCAAATTAGAATTTGAACTTACAGTTAATTTCGTAGAGCTAAAAATTGGTATGAATGTTCAGAATATAAGTAAATTGTGAAAAGTGGTCATCGACCCCCTGTCCATTTTTTTTATTGTTGTTGAAAATAAAAAAAATGGATAGGGTGGACGTTTTTAGCTAAAAGTTGAGACTACTATTGTAGGTCATTCGATGCTCTACAAAAAATGTATCTTTGCTTTTTTTCATAAGTACTGCCATTTCCGTGATGATGGTTTTTCACAGTTATTCTAAACATCCAAAGCAATTGTTAGTTCTATGGGAATTAATGTAACTTCACCTTGTTTTTAAGTACTGTAATAAGATATCTTGGCCTTAAAAAGTAATCATCTTTGACAGCAAAACAATCATACGTCGTCGAGCACAATTTACTGAGCACGATGGATGGTAAAAATAGCTTGGTTCAGAAGTACAATGGTTATGGAGCTTGTCCCATCGTCACACATTATGGTAAATGTATCCTCGCCGAATTCGTCTATGATGGTGTACCTAGAGAAACCCTACCCATTAATCAGGTGAGGAAAACAATAATTTAAATAAAACACTTTAACGGTTTCAAATGCGATATATTAATTAAACTTATTTGAAAATGATTTTTAACTAATATATCGCGTTTGAAACCGTTAAAGTGTTTTATTTAAATGTGTACTACTCGCGTAAACTATAGACAGTATTTAAAACAATAATTGTTAATACATCTATATTTATTATTTATCGGACAGGCTAGTTAGTCTAATGGTAGCAATGAGTGGTAGATATATCGGAATTCCGTCCAGATCATGAACCGACGTCTACAGATGAAATAGACGTCAAATTTAATCGCGTGTCGGTTTCAGTCTTTAGTTTTCCGAATATCCAAAGCCTAAATAGGTCGACACTGCATCTTGTTGAAATGTTAATTAAGAAACAAATTTCTCTACCTTTTGATTTAGATAAGAGTATGAAATTTTGCCTAGTTAGCGGATGTGGTAAGGTAACGCGGTTAATTAACACTGAAAATAGTTTACGGAATCTTACCTAGTTGGCACGGAAACACGATGTCCTTGTCTCAACCTTTGAAAATACAATCGTAATCTTTTATAGATATGTATTAGGTCATTTTTACGAACATTGTCTGTGCTTAGAATTTTTTTTTAAATCAATACTTCAAGACTAATATTATAAATGCGAAGGTAACTCTGTCCGTCCGGCCTTAACACCGAATCTACTGTACTGATTTCAATTTAATTTAGTACACAGATATTCTAAAGCCAGAGGAAGGACATAGACTTTACTTTTTAATGCCAAAAGATTTTAGGGGAAAAGGGGGATGAAAGTTTGTATGGAAATTCGTGATTTTTGAATTTAGAACAATGCCACAGTGAGATTGGGAGTTAGAGAAGGAGTGATGCGAGGTGAGAGTGGGAGTGTTGCGGCAAAGTAGTACTTACAACATAGATTGTCTGCCTTGAATGTGCTATTTTCGGCCTTTTTTTAATTACTAAAAATTCTACCCAAAGTCACTACTTCCGAAGTTGCTAGTTTTATTATAAGTTTAAAATTGTTTCAGGCTCGTGAAAGCACAATCGCATACTACATGAAGCGAGATCTGTTCCCCTTCTTGTATTGGCACTTTATGCTGAAGGGTTATTACCATGGTCCGGAGTGGGTACGTCAACTTGTCAACCCTTTGGCTAAGTGAATATATTGGAGACGTATATCCTATTAAGACTAAATCCTGTTTTTGGATCATTTATAGATCAAAACATGTCTCGTACCCAACGGTATAAATTTTACTACAATTCATTTGTACATCTAACATATAGATGTTATATTTTTGTATACTTGTTTAATATAATAAAATAATTGTTTAATAAAAATATATGGCCCAGTGCTTCTATTGAATTATTTCTTAAATTCGAAGCGACATATTGAGGAACAAGCATTTTTTTGTCTTTGAGAATTCTCTCTTAAATGAAAACGTGTTTAAATTCGTGTAAATGTATGTATTAATATTATTACTCTATAGTAGCAATTTCCTCAAATTCACAAATGCTATCAGGAAGCGATAATTCATAGACTTGGTTATCTAAGTTTAAAATTATTATCAAATTCAAAGCAAATTTTTGATATGATTTTCAGCAGTGAAAATTTTTATTACATATATCTTTTTCAGTGTGAAAAGCAATATTTTTATTTTATGTAAAGGTTATATATATAGTTAAGTTATACTGTATGTTGATTTCTTGTGCATAGCATAAAGATGTCATGTATTAATGAATAATGTTTGAACTGTTAGTTTGTGATATGATGAGATTTTATGTTTTATAAGCAATTATTTGTGAATTGTTTTAATAAAATATTTATTTGTTACTCTTCGTATTATTTTAACAGCAGTACCTAGTCTCATCATTACATAATATAAAACAAAGTGGCGTTTTTGTCCGTATGCACGCTTAAATTTTTATGCGGTTTCTTTTAATAGATACGAGTGATTTAAGAGGAAGGTTACAATATATACAACGTTCACATTTTGTTCTGCAGTGTATTTAGTATCAGCATTGCACCCCAGCGAAGCCGGGGCGGGTCACTAGTAATAAATAACATACACTTTTATGATGAAATGTTATTTAAAAAGTATCCACGAGAAATTATATGGTTCAACCTACGAAGTACCTATATTCTAGTTGGTTTTAATTGTCAGTTATGTAATCTCAAAATGTAAACAAACATAATGATAAATTGCAGTATCTTTAACAAATATTTATTTAAAAAATCATTTACTCGCTTTTATTCGGCCTGCAGAAATGAACTTCGGTAATTAGGTTTCCAAATTTTTATTTGTTAAATGTGTCTATATTAGTAAAATACATACCAAACTTCTTATAGATGTAAAATTCTTATTGTTGGGGGCGGAAGTGGCGGATGCAGCATTGCGTGGAGGCTTCATGCAAAACTTTTCAAGAAAAGACATTATTCTGATCGAACCGTCAACGGTAATGTGATTTGTATTTGCACATCTTTGTTAGGGAAAACCTTAGGTACAGTAACAGATAGTTAACATACAGTTATTTTTGTCAAAATACAGTTGGTTACAATAATAAAATAATGAACACTTTTAAACTTATCGGTGTACGATATTTAGGAGCTAGCTCAGTGACTTATTGGTGTGAATGAAGGAAACGGTTCCCAACTAATTATTATGTAACCAAAGTTTGTTCTTCAGGTCCACTACTACCAACCGTTATTCACTCTCGTCGGTGCCGGGATGAAGCCCTTCGCGGAGAGTTATAAAAAGACTCAGTCAATATTACCACCCAAAGTAATGTGGCTCAAGGATGAGGTAGACCAATTTGACCCTTGCAACAATGCCGTTTTCACGAAATGCGGATTGAGAGTGAGATACGATGTCGTTGTTATTGGCATTGGATTGAAAAACGACTATGATAAGGTGAGGTCACATAATTTAAATAGTGTGATATTTTTCACAATATTCGTTTTAAAATAACATAGAAAATATAACCTAAGTGTTGTCGAGTGTTTGGATTTATTTATATATTATATAAAGCTTAAAACATTTTGATATTCAAAAATAAATACGCGTCATCGACACAGGAGGTGCCGAAAGTGACTAAATATTAATTAGGGTTTTTTGCATTTCAAATCTTTTGTGATTGTCTTAGAAGAATTAGGGGCGGAGTTTCCGGGCTTAAGCTTGCTAAGCGATTCCTTTCGTAAAGTAATAAAGGATTTATTTGTCCGATTGTACATAACGTTACAGCGATACAAAATGTTTGATTTCTTGAGTTTCGTTGTTTTATTTGATTAATACTTTTTTTAAGTATGTGATACCGATGTATCGATGTATGTATACGATGTGACATGTATTTTTTTCATTAAGTTGACTCCGTTCTACGCAACTTTATTCACTGTACATTCTACAGATTCCAGGGCTATCCCAATACCTAAGCGATCCCCTATCCCCCGTATCGACTATATACTCCCCGCAGTACTGTACCAAAAGCTGGTGTTGCCTGCAGCGTTTCAAAGGAGGACACGCTCTGTTTACGTTTCCTAAAGAAGTCGGAAAGTGCTCGGGGGCGGCGCAGAAGATTATGTATTTAGCACACGACTATTGGTCGCAGGTGAGAGACGCTGTCCTGGCAATACTAATTTACATATAACAACGTGCCTCACATTTGTTTGGTTCCAAATGTGTTTAACGTAAGCTGTTGGGAAGTAAGGCATGGGCCTCTTAAAAATTAAACAGACTTTTATTAAGTTGGCTGAATGCTTAATGACAGATGATAGCAAAGATTATCATCCTTACTTCTAAAATCCTTACTTTATTCCGGTGTCCACCAACATAGTAACACCACTGTGTTCTTGGTGCACGAACTTGGACTGGCTGAACTGACGAATGCCAGTCTCATACCATAAGCAGTAGACCAACACGGTTCTCTGAACCTTAATAGTACTAACTTAATAGATCTAGTACTAATTTAATAGTACTAGATTAAATGATATTTTTCAGAATAAGATTCGTCCACAGACAAGTATCACATATGTCACGCCAAAAGACACTGTTTTCGGGATTCCGAAGTACGCCAAAGCTTTGAGCAAAATAGCTGAAAATAAAAGTATAGCTGTCAACTACAACTTAGAATTGGTTGAGGTGTTACCTAAGAAGGCGATTTTCAAAAATTCATGGGGACAGGTTTGCTATAACTATTTCTTAAAAATTAAAGTTACCGTAGCAGTAGCGTAATCATATTACTTATTATTTTAACGGTAACGCGTTATGGCGTCAATCTGGTCTGGTCTTCCAGTAATCAATTCTGTCGAGGCTCACATACACCTTATCTAAAGTTAATGTTTTGTTACGTAAACGTTACGGCGCTTGATTCCAATGTAACTCTTTTATCAGGCGTCTTTTTTAAGTACGTTGTGAGTGTAGTTTTTTAATAGGCTTTCCATAAACAATCGACTCTATAATTTTATATTACCTACTACGCAATATAATTCTTCTTTTACAGACAGTTATTCTTCCCTACAATTTCTTACACGTGACTCCGCCTATGTCTCCTCCAGCATGTCTCTCAAAATGTTCTGAGCTAGTCACTGATGGTTATCTCAATGTTGACAAACATACTCTTCAGCATAAAAGATACTCCAACGTGTTTGGAATAGGAGATTGCTTAAACACACCTAACAGTAAAACTGCAGCTGCCGTTGGTATGTTCTGTACGACCACGAAACGAAATATTAACGTTATTCGTTAATAACGAATTTTAACCAAAGTCTAGTTGGCGGGAGTACACATTGAAATAAAACATTTTTTAACATTTTAATTCTTAACTATAAGAGGAACGGGCCGTAGTTAAAAAAATTAACATTTTAAAGCTCCCTATGTTAGGCTATAAACCAAAAAAAACTGTAATATTTTGTGCACGGACGTGTAAAAAGTGACTGTTGAAGTTCACGTTCGGATAATTAAATAAGAAGGACAAGGAAGAAGAAAAGGAAAGAAAAACGAAGATAGTGATTATTATATAGAGAATTTTTATTATACTATATAAGTATTATTAATATTACTATAGGTACTACATACATACTGACATCGCAAATATGTAAGAATAATCTGTTTTCTCAGTACAACAAAGTGGGGTAGTTGCACAAAATCTATGGAACACTATGTACGGAAAACCGCTTAATTCTACATATGATGGATATGGTGCTTGCCCAATTCTAACATCATATAAAAGTGGCATTATTGCCGAGTTCAAATACGACGGTAAGACTGCGGAGACCCTGCCCTTCGATCAGGTACTTCTTACTTTTATATCATGCTGTATGTCATCAATCTATTCCAAAATGCTTGGATCATATGATGAAGGAAGCGGTGTGTGATACTGTCTGTAGTTTACGCGAATAGTACACATTTAAATAAAGCACTTTAGCGGTTTAAAACGTGATATAAGTATATTAGTTAAACTTATTTAAAAAAATATTTTAACTATGGCCCAACGTTTTGGATGCGTTGCAGCAGCCGTGGTCACGGGGAGACTAAAGATGGGGTGTCTCTCACGTCATAGTAAAAAACTGCTACGCTAACGCCATCTGTTGAATATCTCGGATTTCCAAGAAATAGCATTCCAGCAAACACGGAGACACGTAGTCAAATCTGCAAGAAACCGGCCAGTTTCGCCAAATACCAACTTTGACGTAACAGAGGGCGCTAGCGTAGCAGTTTTTTTCTATAAAAAGCTCTAAAAGCGAAAACTTTAACTGGCTTTCTGATATTTAATTTCTCGACTATTCTATTGCACTTCTACACTACAACTACAGCTGTAAATTTTCCATACGTAAATAAATAAATATCTTAAATCTTGGTTGTGTTGCTAACATTTCAGGCAAAGGAGCGATGCCTGTGTTACTACTTACAAAGTTACGTTTTTCCCTATTTGTACTGGAACGGGTTAATAAAAGGTAAATGGAACGGTCCAGATACAATTAGGAAAATAATTAATCCGTTCGCTAGATAAAACAACTTGGACAACATAAAAAATATTTATTAACTAAATAAATAAAATGTTTGAACAGAACCTCTTTTATATAATGTTGTAGATTTGACTTAATTACATAGAATAACCTATGTGGTTTATTAAATACTTTGGTATACATTTGTTAATATAATTTCGACATTTCTTATCATTCTACTTGTACTTAATTAGTAGTAAATAATAACTCTGGACTTGGTAATATATAAAGAATATCTATAAAAAAATATGGCAGTTTTCTTAGTTATTAAATCAAAAAACTTAGTTATTTTAATATCGTAGCTAAGACAAAAATTGATCTAAAAAAACTATAACTGAAAAAAAATATTCCATTTCAATAATTGTAGTTTACAAATTACAAAATCATTGCTTTTTAGGTTTATGGGTCACGTCTGATTATAGAAAATTTATTTGTTATCATATTTCTACGCTACGGTATTGACAAATAAATAATTTCGATTCTCTATCACATTTAAACACTCCCACATATAGTGAGATTCGAAAACAACTCTTATCAGACTTTATCTAAAGCTGAGAATTGTTCGTGTCCGTTCGCTTCTCTGACGTCTAAAGCGCTTTGTCGCTTTCGTTTTAAAGCTGCCTGCCTCACTCTATGTCTTCGTCTGTTTCTTATGAGGTATACGGAGAGCGCAGTTGCTATCAGCAGCGCTGCTATGATGCATCCAGCGAGGATTAACGTCAAGGAACTAATTTGAGACGATTTTATCGTCGACGGCGCAATCTGCAAATTGTTTTTGATGTAGCCATTAATAAAAATGTCGTTAAAATGATATAATTCATGAACTATATGGGATCATACATCTAACGTAATAGCCACCTACGTTCGTTTTGAGGTACGACTCTAAAAAAGTACAAAAAACGTTTTCGTAGATCAAAATATATAGATAACCAAGTCTGAAGCTCTCACTTTTAAAGGAGTTTCCTAGAAAGGTCCTGACTTCAAATAAAGACAAATAAATGTCATATGGTCGGATAGAGTCCAGGAAGCAGGCTCCACTCCTGTGTCCTTTATATCGGTGATATAGAATTTTGGATTTGAACGCCTGAAATGCACTGTATGCTTACTTGATAATTGTCTGAACCGTAAACATCAGCGCACATGGCCTGTTCCGTCCAATTGTACCAATGCACTAGCCGCAAACCTTCATAGGGCCTGGGTGAGGCACATCTGCAAACATTAACAGGTAAAATTATTCGTTTTTGAGGGCTTCCTGAGGCTAAAAAATATGTATCAAAGTATCATTTCTTTTTCGATGATCTAAAAAAAGTTCGCTATACTAGAACGCTAGAACGACGGGACGCGACCGGCGTCATAACAGGGTTTCAGTTTATAAAGATAAAAAGAACGTGCGCAAAAACAAATTTTCGCGAGGATGCCCAAAATAATTATAAAAGGAAAGGGGTTGTTGGCAAAATTTTTTGTTGCCTAACTCTTCGCGGACGAAGACGCTGACACAGCTGCCATATCACTAGCAGCTATCATTTGTATAATTAAACTGTTAAACACTAAAAAAATAGTCATATATTTATATTACCTGAATTCACTAAGCAGTAAAGAGTTACTCTTATACATTTGCGGTAGTAAGTCCTCTAAGACCCACTGCATATCACAGGAACAGTGCCATGGATTGAACTGAAGGTTGGCACCTTCGTTGAGCGATCGCCACTCTAAAAGAGTTCTGGACAGCCTCGTCAAATTGTTCTTGCTTATGTCGAGCTGAAAGAATAACAAAAGATAAAACTATGTGTCGGTACATATCATATTCTTTTTATAGTAAGAGCTTATATAAATAAGGAAGGTAGTTAAGTTCGGAGGACAGTAAAAGAATCGAAGATATAGTAATTTATTTCATAGAGTAACGGCACGTAACTCTGATCACATGCCTAAAACTTATAAAATTTTAAGGTTTTTAATACATAAGAACCCTAACTATTGTCTGTGCAAATTTAAATAAAACACGTTTAACGGTTTTAAACGCGAAACATATAAGTTAACCTTCTTTACTTACATTTTTACATTAGAGATATTATCTTCAGTTCCCCAGTGACCACGGTTTTAAAGCATCTAAACGTCGGCCCGTGGGTAAATAAATTTAAAAATATATGAACTAATACATTTTGCATTTTGGACTGTTAAGTGTTTTTAAAGCATAAGAACCTTGTTGTTTGTCTGAATAACATTTGACTAAGACTTACCATGCATAAGTTAGTTCCATCAAATGCACCTTCTTGAATTTCGTGTAATGAGGCACAATTTGATAGGTACAAAGAGAAACAGGTCTTCTCATACACGATTTCGTCTCCAGGTCGCCCGATGACGTTACTAAACGCTTTATCCTCCACCACAAACAGCCTATTCATATCGTTCATATATAAATTCTTCAATGAAATGATATTTTTGAAATACACACTCTCAATAGGGTTGCCATCTAATCTCAATTCCTCTAAATTTGGGAAAATTTGGCTGCTAATAGACGCAGGCACTTCGGGTATGATATTGTAGGATATATCCAGGCTAAAGAGTTTTGGTAACTTACTTTGCACGTCGAAGTCTTTTATTTGATTCCCTCCAATGTTGAGGACCTGAAAATATGAGCCAGTTAGAGATATAGAACCTTAGGAATAGCTACTAGACAGATGTTATTTCTGATTCTATTTATTATTCTTCGGATTAGCTTAACGATCTGTTGTATTGACAATTGGAGTTGAACAGACAACTGATAATTAATTACTGTTTATATTATTGACTTCCCAAGATATGTCAGTTCGTGAATAATCAGACATGGTCCTACTTATTATCTACAAGTACGGACTTATTTGACGAGCTTGTTAATCACGGATGGGTTCGATAGCCGGCTCTAACACTTCTCTAACTGGTTAGATTTCGTCTAGAAATCTGGATATTAATTGGGTAGTAATATCTAAATACCGTACGGGTCAGAATCTGCCGGTTCGGTTTCAGTATGGCTTTACGAATATCCAAAGCCAAAATAGGTCGACAACACATCTAGAGTAATTCACTTTCCATCAAGTAAACCCTATGCTTATCTGTCTTCTTCTATTATAAAAAAATATATAGTAACTAACCTCCAAATTATCAAAATTAACATCACGGTCCTCATAGAGAGCTGAAAGGCGATTGTATGACAAATCAATGTATGTGATATTAGATGGGAACCTGGGCCAGTGGTAAAGAGTGTTTATTCTCAATATGGCGATTTGCAGAGAGGCGGGAAGCGCAAAAGTAAACGTTATGTTGTTCTGCGCAAGATTCAATTCTCGTAGGCTCGTGCATGTTAGAAACGCCTCCTCCTCTACTACTTCTATTACGTTGTTGGATAGATCTAGCAGCTCACTGAAATACAATTTACGTAAGTGTAAACTTATTGCATGAATTGAAAAGGTTACAAAATTTCAATGACACGGACAGACAATGTAATACTTAAGTTACGAGGTCCTATGCTTTGCCTAGAGGTTTATCTATAATTTTTTTTTCAATCTACACCTAGATCAAGATTCAAAATTTCAATAAGTCTATTATTGCATTTTTAATTAAGTTTATAATTATATAGGTATCTACTTACATATAGTTACTATCCGGGAAAGAGTCTTTCACAATCGACCTTATTTTATTCCCACTAAGGTTCAATCTCTTTACTCCTTTCAAACCGATATTATTAGCTCTCCTCAATAAGACATCTACGATCCCATTTTTACCCAAGTCAATATCTTCTAGCAGATTCATCGATTGTAGAGCTTCGGTAGGGAACTTCTTCAATGAATTGCTTTGCAAATTTAATTTTTTGACTCTTTGGATATGTTTGAAGTCCAACGGACTTATATGGGTAAGTTTATTGTAGGATAAGTCCAGGTCCTCTACCACTTTCACATTTGTGAAGAGATCTGGTGTTAGCTCGGCAAGGTCGTTCTGTGTGAACGAGAGAATCTTTAGGTTGGGTACATCACTAAAAGGATCAGGCCAATATGTTGAAATCGCATTATTGCTGAAGCGTAAGGTTTCCACTTGAGAATTTGGAGGCAACCTGGAACAAATGATATGGTTTATAATAAAATATTGTTTCTCTTTATTACATACATTATTACGTCTAATTTACTATTCGATTATTTTTACAGGATCAATTTTCATTTATTTTATTTTGATGATACTTCTATGCCCTGCCAACCGGAACCGAATGTTGACCCAGGTTTAGGGTAAAAGAAAATAGTTAAATGTTTCTCTTACAAAGTAATCATTTAAGCATCTATAGTTTGTCTTAGTTATAATAATTCTACTGAAGTGTTTGTTAAATCTTGACTTAGCGAGGAATAATTTTAGACAAAGCAACAACAAAGTGGCTAGAGAATACGTCGCCATTACGTGTTACTGTAGCATAACTATACAAGCATATACTATGTGACGAGCAGTTTAAAGTGGAACAACAGTACTACAGTGGCGGAAATTTGCATAACAATGGTAAATAAATTTGCACGAATTGATAAAGCCATCTTCAGGCCTGATATAATATAGTGCAATACTAAAATATACTTGTTTTAACGCGATAGTCATATTTATAGGATGTCTTGAACCTTTTTCGTAGCATCAGAAACGACACAGAGATGAATAATTCCCCCGTTTCCACATTTCACGCTGTTTCTTCGCTTCTATTATTCATAGCGAAATGTTTATAGCCTTCCTTGATATAAGTTCTAACAAACCACTAGTAGTTCCTGAGATTAACGCGTTCAAACAAACAAACGCACAAACAAAGCCTTTAGCTTTATAAATTAATATAGATATAACGACGATAGAGATAAAGTAATTGTGGTTAAAAATTACCTTAACAACGACACAACAGGCCGTTAATTGTTAACTGAGACCGCATACTGCTAATTGTTGAATAGCACAATTAGGCAGCCATAATCTCAGCATATTTATACTTAACAGTGATCAATCATAGCAACTGTGTCGTTTTTGTTTATTTTGCAAATCTCACGGAAGGCTTATCGCAGCGAATACCGACTTTAATTTATATTAGCTGAATCACAGACCGAAATACCAATGACTATATGAGGGTTTTAATACGTTGACACTGTAATCCACTTAGATTAAATGTTTATTTGAAACACTTTTAACAGTTTAAAATGAGAAATAAATATCAGTTATACTACTTTTAGTGTTTTATTTACTAACTACTCGCGTAAACTATAGACACATTTCAATGTTTTTAATTTAGTTAAATAACCTATAATTTGACATTAGTTAAGTACACTATTGTATTGTATTTTTGTTTGTTTGTACGTTATATTAAAAGCGAAAAGACGTGTTTAGAAAAATAAGAAATGGTGACAATCGAATCTTCTACTCTCACTGCAGAAACAGTGACGTCTCATCTCATCATGTCTGCGTTTGTTACAATAAAATACCTTATTTATGTGTTTTACGAGAAATATTTCATATAATTGCAAATATAACACTAAAAATCCTTAATTGCTATTTACAAGGAATTCAAGAACAATAATTATTGACAAATCCATTCCATTACCTCTTTCTTGTCTTTGAAAAATTAAAAAAAATTAAGCAAAACATACTAAACTTTATTTGTAATTTAAATGATAGTACTGATTTCTGAACGAAAAATTAAACGCTTTATTTTACAATTTTAAAACAATAGTAAAATAAATTGGTCACGTTTATTCCCAGTACAGTTATGTATATCGCTAAATAGCTTTGCGATAAAACGGTGATTCTTATAAATGTCACTTCTTAGACCTCTGATAAGGATATGATAGAATATTAAATAGAAGTGTTTATTCAGTAATGCATTGTGATTTTTGTTGGCTAATATGATTCATAATAATCTAGTACTAGCTGTGTCAGCGACTTAGTCCGCGTAGAATAGTTATTTAGAGCAACAAAATTCGTTTTCGCATATCTCCTCTTCGTCAATATAAATTTAAGTCATTACCCACGCCGATGTCGACCTCATTATTCTTAAAGGTAATATAGTGTGCTTTTTTTATTATTTAAAGAGAAATATTTTTCCCACAAATTTTTGGGTATTTGTAAAAAATGGTCCACAGCTAAATGCTCTAATAAAAACAAAAATAATTTTTCAAAACGTACCAGAAATTCTTACTATTAACGCGTTCGAACAAACAAACTCTTCAGCTTTATATATTAGTATAGATGAAAATTGAATGGTTCTAAGTTGAATAGCGCAGGAGTTTGTCAACTTACCTATATATAAAATTATTTTAGTAAAAAACCCACAAAAAAAAAAAAACCCCCCCCAAAAAAAAAAAAAACCCCCAAAAAAACACCCCCCCCCCCCCCCCCCCCCCCCCCCCCCCAAAATTCCTTCCCCCCCCCCAAAAAAAAAAAAAAAAAACCGGAAAAAAAAAAAAAAAACATCCCCATTTCCCCTTTAGGGGGAAAGGATTTTCCCCATGTTTTAAAGAGTGGTATCTACCAAGGCAAGGTAAGCTAATCATTTAGCAAAAAAGAAAGGATAAATTTTGATGGCTTTAAAATTCTCCAAGACGAAACTCTTACGTCAAGCTATTCTTTACATAACTCTAACCTTGTGTAGCTGTATGATATGAAAATATCAAGGTAAAGGGCTATAATAAGTAAACAAAGTGATCACATTTAAGTCCTAACTCAAGATAAGAGAATTGAGGACGATACTTTGGGATATTGAGATTTACGACTACGAACCCATAGCTTGCTAAGAGCTTAAACGATAAGGAAATTGAGTGAAATTAAAGCAATTTGCAATTTAGGTCGCGCTGAAATAGTGAATTTTGTATGTAAAACAAATTTATTATTGTTCTCAATACCTACTTGATATTGTTGTTCGGCTGTAAGCGTCTTAAGATTTTGACACAGTAAAAATATTTGGATCTAAGTTACTGCCTTGTATAATATAACAATAGAAATATGTAGTTTGTTTGTGTACTAATTACACAATTAAAGAAAACGAATTTAGTAAACCATAACTAAATGACATATCACGTTATAAAAAACTATTATATTGTAACGCTTATATTATCTTATTATAGTTTATGCTATCAATAACGTATGCACTTACTTCCCGAGTGTAGTCAGTCCCAATCCTTCGAACGTAGCTGATATCTTCAGTCCGTTGGGATTATCCGGCCATTGTATTTTATCCAAATCGGCAAGGTCATCCACCTTGTCCAGTTCCGAGCACAGTATATTGAGCACTAGATGGGTTCCGTCCACATCGGGGATTTCACTACACGTGCAGTGTGTACATAGCTTTATCAACTTCACTTCGGATTCTTGGGCACTCGCGTGATAAATTAAAAACACAAACGCCAAATGTACGAGCGCGCGCATTTTTTCACAGGATACATCTGCAGCAAAGTTGTAATCGAAATGGACTGATAAGATAATTGGCGTTATCGGAGCGTATACTTTGCTGAAAGTGACGCAGAGATAACGTGGATTGAGTGCCCACCACACCTGAAAGGCATCACATATGATTATTAACAATTATGAACACCCTATATACACTATGCTTATTATGTAATAATCCAAAAATAAATTGAATTATTGAAACTTCCTCTTGAGAGTAGTAATATATTGCTCGGAAAAGGTTTTTTTTAAGCAAGGAGTTTTTAAATACACCTTCAATGCCCAACACCGTTTCGGAAACCATCAATCCAGGCTATCATGGCTGCTTATATTAGCGTGGCAGGTCGAAATCATTTTTGTTCGACACGACAGAGGAAACCTATAACCAGCTTTGATACGTTAATAAGGTAAATCTATAACTGGAATTGTCAAAAAAAATTGTGACTCACCAACAATTTATATTGTTTTTCATAAAGTCTCTCTCGAATGGAATTGAACTAATCGGGTTCTTTATAAACTTCAATTATTTTTTTTATAATTACTATAATAAGGCAGACTAATATGAAAAACACGTTATCGAATTTCGCTTTGAACACCTCCTAAACGCCATTTAAGAATTACTGAATGAAATCTTAAGGTTAAATGCGCAAGCGCGTATCTAGGCACTAACTAACCGAAGCAAGTATTGTGTGGGCAGCTTACTCTATATTGGCTATAATGACTGTTGGGAATTGGGTTCGATATTCAGCCATTTGATACACACGTTCATGTTACGATATTCTCAACTGTCTTTTGTTTGAAAATTTCCATACAAAGCATCGAAATATTTCGGTTAGTCAAGGGACCATTTGATGACACGGGAAATTTAATTTATATAAAATTCTATACAGACATTTATTTCTTTCGTAGTAATTTTGAACGATGTAAAACGGAAAATTGAATTTGACGTGAAATTCCGCTTGGCGGGGACATGGGGTAAACGCATTATAATTCCTGTTTAATTAATCGATTTTTATTAATTATGGTGGTTTAATAACGCAAAACACGTAACCTTTCAAAATATACTTGGACATATGCGTTTTCTAGCAACACCAAATTATTTATTTAAAAATTTTTTTAAAAAAAGCAATGTGTATTACTTATACAATTTATTTTCATAATAATTTGCAATGTAATGCATTTTTATTGTTGTATTCTATTTTATAATAAAATATATTTATATATATTCAAAGTTTGTGTACAATAACAATTTTGATTAAAATTTATAACCTTCAAGAAGAGCATTATAATCGTATTCATAACATTAAATAATTTAAATTTTTCTATACCTAAAATCTTTAATAATCCCTGTACTTTATGTGCGTAAAAATAAGGCGTTTACACCGCACAACATAATTCGGGTCGTGATTAATTTTATCATCTTACAAAAAACACAAGTATTTCACCACAGCAAATTAAATAAGCATTATTGTTAAATAAAACAATGTAACGGTTTCAAATGAGAAATATTACTTAGATTTATAACTACGATAAAGTAGCAGGGCAGTAGTTTAAATCAATTAACTTATATATTTAATACATTCCGTGTATTGATCTGTTTAAAGAATTTTATTTAAAATGACCACGGACAATACTAAAGTATTTATTGTATATATGTATGATAATCTACAAGAGCACAGTGACCGAAAATTGTTAACATAATTCTTACACAAATAATAGTACAAATTCATTTTCGCCTAAGTTAATCGCGCATTTTATATTCCTCCTTATTGAAAAGCATGTTTTTTGTTTACATAAAACACTTTAACGTCAGAGACACACTCCATCTTTAGTCACCCCGTAAGCACGGCTGCTGCAAAGCATCCGAAACATCGGGCCGTAGTTAAAAACAATTCTCAAACAAGTTTAAGTAAAATGCATCGCATTTTAAACCGTTAGTGTTTTATTGAAAATGTATACTACTCGCGTAAACTACAGACAGTATGTTTTTTGTTATTAGGCCATTCATAGATAAATGAGGTCTTTTCGTATTACTTATTGAATATCTGTTACGTATAATATCGACATGTTTGAACGAATGCGGAATGCTCAAGTAAACTTGCACTTAATCTAGAAATGCTAATATAAAACTAAGCAAAAAACATATTCATATAATTCGGTTTAAATCCCTTCACATTGTGTTAGACATTAATTCTCAAAAAAAATTTTTTTGAAACAATTAATGAAAATTGGGAAAAATACTATTTTTACCAATAAAATATTAAATATGACTTGGCCTAACAAAATTCTACAATTATTATTTTATATAAATTATATATATAGTTTTAAAAAGTTGTATTAGTTGGTAGAGGTCTAGTCCCGTTCGTGTCATCAACTTATATACATCTTTAAAATGAATATATTTACTATATAAAGCAGTCTTAATAGAACGAGCTATCTATAAAAATATATGGAAAACATTTGTGTTATGGGAATTTCGACTAAATAAAGAGTATCACAAAGCTCCGTTTTCTTTAAGCAAGAAATGTCCAACGAGGCGTTTTTGTACGTCCGAAACACCGCCATAGATCTGCGTACCTCGTGCGTCTCTGTTGACAAAAAAACAAGTTTTTTTTTATTTTTCGGTCTGGTAGGGTAACGTATACTAGCTTTGTGGACTTGTCAAGCGGATCATCAATCTCCCAATAGAAAATAAATCACTACTTATCCTTTAGAAGTAGCTTATTTTAGATTATATCTACTGAAAATTAAACATAACCCCGTATAGAGGAGTCTTTTATTTTAGGTGTCTAGCAACTATTTCTTTTCTAACACAATAGAAACACATAATGTTTCCTTAATTGACTTAACATTTGTTATCAATATAAGGGACCAACAATACGAAAAATACACATTTTCGTATTGTTTTTCTTAATATATAGATTTGGAGTGAAATGGTCAGCAAATGATATGGAATGATTGCACAGCCTTCTATCGGTGTCGCCAGAATAAATTAATAATATATAGATTTCCAACCAATTTTAGATAAAAAAATTACAACGCTGTTGATGCCGGTTCAAGTCCTGTCCGTGTCGTATTTTATTTATTTAAATGGTTTTTATATAATGCCATCATGTGCAATAAAATGTGAAAAATTCTAAAGTTTTCAAATAATATAAAATTAACCTCACCTATAATGTCTCTCAGCGTCATAGCTAGTCGAAAGCCCCTTGCCTCCCATTATCTGGACGCAGTGGTCCGCAACTGCGGCCGCGTTCCTTCCAGCCACGTATTTAGCCATGGCACTGTTCTTGGTTTTCACTTCTGTTGCTGCCCGATATGTGAGCAGTCGGGAAGTTTCAACCATTACTGACATCTCCGTTAATCTATCCTGTAAGTGTTCTGATTTTAAATATGATTATATGAGTTAACTCAACGGGTGCCTGGGTCTAATAGTAGCAATGTATGACTATTAATAATCCACGGGTTCGATCCCCACTAGGTCTAATATGTTTTTGTCAAGTAATTTGGTTATTAACTGTGTTTAAATAAAACACTTTAACGGTTCAAAACGCGATAAATTAGTTAAACTTAAATACTGTCTATAGTTTACGCGAGTAGTACACATTTAAATAAAACACTTTAACGGTTTAAAACGCGATATATTAGTTAAACTTATTTAAAAATGATTTTTAACTTCGGCCCGACGTTTCGGATGCTTTGCAGCAGCCGTGGTCACGGGGAGACATATTGATTGTGTGGTAATAGGGAAACTTCGTGCGGGTCTCAGAGCCGTGAGGTTTAATGTAGGCGTTCAGTCAGTGGAATTCCGAATAACTGAAGTAAAATAGGTTGAAAGGGCATCTAGTGAAGATATTATATGACTTTGGTATTTCACGTCCTCTAAATCTAATGTTCTAAACTAATATATCGCGTTTTGAACCGTTAAAGTGTATTATTTAAATGTGTACTACTCGCGTAAACTATAGACAGTACTTAGTAAATACCTATATTAGTTTTTTCTCAACCGATTTAATTTACCTGAACTGAAGGAAGTCTGGTTAGGCTCTTTCCGAAAGCAATTCGATGTTTGGCATAATTAATGGCTGTATCCAATGCTGCTTGTGAGATACCTGTAAGTAATTTAATTACATTATAAGAATAACCTAGAAGAAAGCAAATAAATTTGGAACTCGTAATAAAAACTAGACTTAGGATTACCTAAGTCAAATTTTTATATGAAAACAAAATATACTAAAAAAGAATATAAATTTTCTAAAAGAATTCGCGTACATAAAGGTGAAAATAAAATATGTATACTCATAAATTAGTTAGATAATGAAACCAAACGCGTTCAAACGTTCAATATAACGAAATATATCGAAAATATTTTTAACTACGGTCCGATGTTTTGGGTCAGTCGTGGTCACGGGGAGAGCCGTAGTTAAAATAATTACCAAATAAGTTTAACTAATATACATCGCGTTTTAAACCGTCAGTGATTTATTTAAATATGTACCACTCGCGTAAACTATAGACAGAGTGTGTACTCAACTTACCTTAGGCAATGAAATCAATAACTTATAAATCACTAAATGGTCAACAAAGTAGTCAAATCAGCCTACTTATAAACAAAATAAATCAGAGAAACAGACAAAGAAAAACTTTTCACACTAAAAAGGCAAGGTACACACCTACAGCGTGCGCAGCGATTCCAATTCTAGCTTGATCGAGCTGTTCCATGGCGATCTTGAATCCTTCGCCTGGTTGACCTACTACATAGCTGTTGGGAACTCGAACCTCCTCCAGAGTGACATTGCAAGAAGTAGCAGCCCTGTGACAAACACTTCACTTCTAATTTATCGGGCCTTTTCAACGTGTGACTTTGGATGGTGTGAAAAATGTGAGCAAGAACGCTGACAATACAGTTTTGACGTCCAGATTTCAAGAGTAGAAAAACCATAGGTAAATTAAAAATCGATTTTAGATTGTCTTTTTCAATCTAAAATCGATTTTTAGTAGGTATACATAATGCCATAATGCTGAATAACATGTAAAAAATATTTAAGTTTTTATAACATAGGCATTCAAAAAGCACAAAGAAACAGCAACAGGTAAAGAAACTAGTGCGTGGTTACTCACCTAACACCCATAATTTGCTCTTTCTTTCCTCTAAATACTCCCTCGAAGTCTAGTGGGACCAGAAAGCCTATAAAGGAAAAAAACAAAAAAATTCTAGCTAAATTAAAATTAGTAATATACCCCTTTCCACCAACATATTATGTACTAGCTGTAGCCGCGACTTCGTCCGCTTCCCGTCTTGCAAGTTACTCTCTAAAAAGATAGATATATACCGTTGCGGACATTTTTAGATCATATTTTTTTAAGTATCTAGAACCGTTTTCGCAACGCACGCAACGTAAACTTACAAAGATGAATTTTCCTCGTTTTTTCCACACTTCCTTTTGTTTTTCGCTGCTATTAGTCGCAGTGTGATGATTTAAAGCCTTCCTCTATAAATGCTCTAACTTATAAAAATTATACACAAAAATATTTTTTTCAATTCGAACCAATAGTTCCTGAGATTGGCGTGTTCAAACAAACTCTTTATACTATAAGTATAGAATAAAATTACTAAATATTACTTACACACAATCCCTTTATGTTTGAGCTCCGGATCGAATGTAGCAAAGACAGCGACCGCAGAGCCTTCTATGGCAGATGTCACCCAACTTTTCTTGCCATTCAATATCCAATAGTCGCCATCCCTTGTAGCTGTTGTTTTAATATTAGCTGCGTCACTTCCCGCTTCTGAATATACATATTACAAAATGTAATACTTTATATACTGTCTGTAGTTTACGCGAGTAGTACACATTTAAATAAACACTTACGGTTTAAAATTAAAATTTTAACTATGGCTCGACGTTTCTGATGCTTTGAATCACCAAAGTCAAATAAGTGGACAACACATCTTAAGGTATTACAATTTCTGTTGGGGGGTTGACCTACGATCAAATGAGGGCTTTGATCTTAGGGCAAACTTCTTGTGCTTATGTGTCCTCCTCTATTATAAAAAAAGGTCTTTATTATGTTAAAAAGCGGCAGATTGCATTATTCTGTTAGCTATATTATAAATGTATATACAATTTGATTCTTATAGCAACACGCAATTTTACTGCTGATTTATTGCTAACTGCATGTGTAGCCAACACTATTATCCGAGCTATTTTATTTAATAGAGTTTTATAATATATTTAATTCAATATAATTATCACATAAGGCCATATAGGCTTATTGTGTATACAAACCTCGACAAACTTATTTACGTGTATATAAAGAAAAAATTACCTGGCTCACTCAAAGCAAAACAGCCTATGCACCCTTTTGTAAAATTCCTAAGGAATAATTCCTTCTGTTCCGGGGTTCCCTTCTCATTGACTAGATTGGCGTATAAAAAGTTATGTATCGAGAGAAGCATGCCGGTGCTAGCACAACCTCTGGATAGTTCTTCTACGGCGAGCGCTAGAGAGAGATAGTCGTATCCTAGACCCCCATATTCAGTATCAACGCATGCGCCCATGAAACCAAGGTCAGCTAACTTCTTTATCTGTAACGGTAAATTGAAAGAGTGAAGTCTCGCGTCCTATATGTGGAGTATGGACAAACAAAAGTTATGAAAACCTATACAATTTTATGTATATCTAAGTGTAGTAAAATTTTACGTATAATGGAAGCAATACATTTTAAATTGTAAACGGATGAATCCATCAAGTGCCATACGAATTTATTTGACGTTATCATTAAGATATCTCTGACAAACAAATAATATTGGGTAATAACAAATGCTGTGTAACTTTGTTATCACATATGAATTCTCAATATCTTATCATTAAACTTGTGTTATTTCATTGGTGCTAAAAATGAAGCTGTATGCACTTTTATAGGGACCTGTACAGGCATCGTAAATTATCCACTTTACCAATACACTAGTAATACAAATTGTGGTGTTAAACATTGTGTTACTACAACAAACAAACTCAACAAAGAAAGTAAAAAGTAAGCTCTTGAACCTAAAATAAACAACAAGTTAATAATTATTTAAGTGGATGAAAAAGTACGATTGTAATGATAACATTAATTTAGAAGGGAATAAATAAACATATATCAAAACTATTCCTGGTCTTCAGGATACAATAAAAAGACACTTTATTCATTTCAAGGCAGACAAGTAAATTTCATTGCATGTGATTTTACCTGTAACCTTGCATTTGATTGTCAGCCTTTTTACCTGTTTTTACTTTTTTTATATAGCAATAAACAATGAATTTTGTTGTGTAAAAAATGTTTAAAAAACTTGATGATTGGAACTCGCACAACATTTATATACTCAAATAGCTCTCAATCAACATCAGGTGAAGTACAGCCAAACATGAAGATAAAAAAACTCCAAGTTTAAGTGTTATAGGACCTTCTTATAATTTATACTAATATTATAAAGCTGATGAGTTTGTTTGTTTGTTAGAACATGCTAATCTCAGGATAGACATATTTGAATTTAAAAGTTCCTTTACTGTTGGTTGGACTGACTTTATCAGGGAAGATTATGCAAATAGAAGTGATGATATAGAGGCATTATTCTTCTTTTAAATATGACCTAAAAAACCTGTAACAGTATAAATTTATCTTTTAAGATGAATTTGCAAGAACGACGGAACGCAAACGGCGCAAAGGGTGGTTGTTTGCAAAACTAAATAATACAATACCCAATATAACTATTAGAAATGAGAAAAGAACTTAGAATTAATGCATTATACTCATTTGTTTAACCACTTCTTATCTTAAATATTAAACTCATTAAATTTACATTAGACTACTGTACCACATCCTATAAGTAAACATACATATTTAAAGAGATAACTAATTACTTATTATATATATTCAAAAGCCCTTATTTGTAATACCACCAGAATAATAAGATCAATTGACATAAAAAAGTTATATCTTTTTTTGAAAAATAAAAAAAAAACTATTGCTTGAATACCTCTTTAAATGGATATTTCCCTTCTTGATCCAACTTAGCTGCTTTGGGTTTCAGGTGTTCATTGGTAAAGTCTCTCACACTTTGTTGAATTTCTAATTGTTTTTCTGTTAGCTTCGTTGTAAAGGTTCGAGTCAATAACTTCTTTGCATTCTGTATTAAGCTTACTAAAAAAAGGGTTAAATGTTCTGTGAAATTTAGAATTTCATTTGTGAGAGCTATATTATTTAACATGTTATATCATATCTTATCAAAGTTATAAAAATAACAATAATACAAGACTAAGAGCAATCAAATAGGACCAATACAGAAATATAAAATACAAAGTAAAATTATGATGGTTAATACAATTACTAAGTTTCAGTTTTAATGTATGCTCTAGAGAATTACAAAATGTATACATATAGTCCTATTTTATTTACTTCACATGTACATTTTTGCAATAAGAGTATAATTAATGACGATCAAATAATTATTTGTATGTCTTAAATACTTACTGGTTTTTGTGGATGTTCTCAAAACATTAGTAGCCATTTTTGGAAGGGACCGTATAACGCGCTTAACAGATACCAACTGAATGCTTTAACATCAACATTACGATAATATTATGATAATGAATTTCAAGGACATACCGAAGTAACGTTTTTAAATTTTGTCAACCAAGTTCGTACCATCGAAGATTGCATATTTGGTTATTTAAAATTTATACATCACCCAGGCATTACAGCATATATAAAATATAAATAGTACGATTTTACATAAATTGGAAATGTATTTTATACAAAATAACTGGAATTGTGAAAAAATAATTTATGTTTTTAAAATAAGTAAGTAACGTCAGATTCAGTTTTAGAAACCTACGATCAACGTATTTTGACAACTTGTAAAATGTCATAATTTTCATTTAAAAAAAAAAAACATTTGTGATAAGATAACCTTGGAATACATAGTATAAACACACAGTCAATTGTCGAAGTATAATAAGTCAAAAATTAATATGATTATATTGGATTTATATTAGTAAAAAGACATTGTTGTATTGAGTTTTAATTATTCAATAAATGTTTCATACAAAAGAATTTATGTGGTTTGTCTACAGATGCATACTTAATGGCAACAATAATAAAGTGAACAGTGTTTTCATGAGAAAATTGTTGTAAGCGAAATATCTCCAAACCAAACATAGTTAATGTGAAAGATGACTTCAATTTTCGATCAGTATGAGCAAGCGTCTCATTTATCCCAAAAGCCAGCACCAGCTTCTGAACAGATGACTTCTTCAGGTTACATTAACATGCAATTAGAGGACAATACGCCCCTCTTCTCTAAACAGAGAATGAATTTTAATCCATCTGATTTAATCACCCATGTAGCTGTTGCTAGTGATTATCTAGTACTTGCAATGGGAAATGGAAAGTTATTTAGAATGGATTTAAAAGTGCCAGACCAACAAGAAGGTAATAAGGAATAACATTTTTATGAATATGTGAAGTTATAATAAGCAGACAATAAATTCACCATAAATAATTGTTTCAGAAATACAATATTCTAAAAATGTACAGCCAAACTCAAAGTTAACATCAATATTCCTTGACCCACTGGGACAGCACTTACTCCTAGCATTTGCAGCTAGAAATAAAGATGGCAATCCAGAGCTTGTTTATTTGCATAGGAAAAGCAACAAATTGAAGTCTGTTAGTAAATCCAGGAACTATGAGGTGACAGAAGTTGGATGGAATTGGGAAAATAAATCAACAACAACTACTGGACCTATTCTATTAGGAACATCTCAGGGACATATTTTGGAGATGGAGTTAGAAGCTGAGAGTGATAAAATGTTTACAGCTAGTCAGCAATATTGGAGACAGGTAATATAGCTATAAAAGAATAATTGTTAACTATAGACATAAAAGTTAGAACAAAAATAACCATAGAGGATTAAGTTACTAATTAAGACTCTTTTCTCAAAGCTGCCTAATTATTTACCATTGTATGGAGGCAAGGAAATTGATGGATTGGTAAACATTTTGTACATATTTAATAAATACTATAGAATTTTTAGAAGCTTTCATTTGTCTATAATATGCTAAAAAGTGTGTTACATTTTCAGATTTTTGATATTGGTAAAGGGTCAGATACACCTATCACAGGTATACAATTTCACAGAGTAAACAAAACAAGCAAATACTTTATTTTTGTGACAACACCAACTCGTCTATATCAGTTTATTGGTCATGCCATGATTTCTGATGATAAACCATCTCTTCAGTCCATATTCCACTCTTATCTTACTACTCCAGAAACTGGGTTTCAAGAAATTCCATCTACTCTTAAATATTCCAAGTTACAGTTTTATTTTGATAAAAGTAATAACCCGAAATCATTTACTTGGCTCACTGAACCTGGAATTTTCTATGGGCAGGTAATATTTTAATTTATTCTTTTATAAAACTTTTGTATGGCAGAATATCTAGTATGAAAAATATGCTTAATTACAATATTTTTGTTACAGTTGGACCCTACATCTCAGCAGAACTCTAATTCGCTGTTTACACAAAGTGAGCTGATAAATTATCCATCTCATGAAGGAGATGGCAAAGAAACGACTCCACTGTCATTTGTGTTAACAGAGTTTCATGCACTATTAATGTACTCGGACAGAGTAAAAGGAATCTCCCTATTAAACCAAGAATTAGTATATGAAGACAGGTATAATTCAGAAGTCCATGGAAAGCTTAAGAATATTGTCAAAGATCCAGCGAGAAACACAATATGGGCTGTGACGGACAAGGCAGTTTTTAGATATAAAGTAAACAAAGAAGAGAGAAATGTGTGGAGGATTTATTCTGAAAAGGAGCAGTTTGATCTTGCCAAACTATACTGTCAAAATAACCCAGCTTACATTGATATTATAAACGTTAAACAAGCAGACATACTGTTTAAGAAGGGTGATTATGAGAAGAGTGCTGCAATTTTTGCGGAAACTCAAAGTAGTTTTGAAACAATTTGCTTGAAGTTTCTTGAAATAGATCAAATTAACGCATTGAAAGTGTACCTTGCTAAGCGATTAGAATCCCTCAGTGACGATGATAAAACGTTGATTTCCATGATAGTAATTTGGATGACTGAGCTGTATTTATCACAATTGGCATCCTTGCGAAGGTTAGGAAAAGGTGATTCACAGGAATACCATCAGATTCAAAGTGATCTAGAAGTATTTTTGCTTCAACCTAAAGTTGTTCAATGTATGCAGCATGTCAAGTCTATAGTATATGATTTAATGTCTTCTTATGGAGATAAACAGAATTTGATAAAACTGACTGTTATTAATGAGGATTACGAAAACGTAGTCGCTCAGCATATTTACAAAAAATCATATCAAGAGGCGCTTGACATGTTGCAGTCTTTGAAGAAGCCAGATTTATTTTACCAATTCGCTCCCGTTCTTATGGAGGAAACTCCTAAGAATACGGTCAATGCGTTGATATCTCAAGGTGCAAAGCTCAGCCCCTCTAAGCTACTGCCGGCGTTTTTGTCCTGCGAAAACGATGCAATTCATGCCTCAGAGATTACTCGGTACCTAGAATTCATGATGCAAAACTTTAATGTAAAAGACAAGGCGATACATAACTATCTTTTGACGTTGTATGTGGAAACAGACAAAGAAGCTTTGTTGCGTTATTTGGCACGTCAAGGGCAGGATGTCACTATGGTTAATTATGATGTGCATTACGCTTTAAGGTACAGTAAACTGACACCTGTTATTTCCTAAAATCCATATTATTTTTATATATTAAACATGGAGTAGACAAATTCCTGTGTTAGATTCACTAATCAATTTCTATTTATAGACAAGCTATAGATTGTGTGCTTAAAAAAAGCTAAGATTGTTGGCTTTTTTTTGGTAATGAGATGGGTCAGTTTACGCGAGTAGTACACATTTCAATAAAAATAACGGTTTAAACCGCGAAATATATTAAACTTACTTGATAATGATTTTAACGACGGCCCTACGTAGTCACAACATATTACGCGTTTTAAACCATTCAAGTGTTTTATTTATTTTGAAATTGAATTCTCAGATTGTGCCGGGAGAAAGGAGTACCGGAGGCATGTGTAACATTGTCAGCCCTATTGGGTCTTTGGGAGGCGGCACTAGAGTTAGCTCTGCAGGTAGATATTTCCCTCGCAAAGACTGTCTCGGCGATGCCTGATGATGTCGCCTTACAGAAAAGGCTTTGGCTTGGAGTGGGTAAATGATCTATTTAATTTATCTGTCTATCTTTCCTTTTTTTTACAAAAAAAGTATATTAAATTTATGTATCCTGCTTGACCGAAACATATCATCAAGACACAACGCGTACTACTAGTTAAAATAAGTGGACTTTATTAATTCCAGCTGAACATGTGATCACAAAGAATCAAGACATTAAAGAGGCTATGAATTTATTGGAGGAGTGTTCTCTTATAAAAATTGAGGATATCCTGCCCTTCTTTAGTGACGTCACTACGATTGACCATTTTAGCGAGCCAATCTGCCAGTCGTTGGAGGTTTGATGCTCTATTGTTTTAGAAATGTAAAGTTTGTATGGTATGTATAGTGCAGTGCTGTAAACGAAGTTTTCTTTTCAGGAGTATAACAATCAAATTGAGGAGCTCAAACTAGAAATGGAAGATGCTACTAAATCTGCTGAATGTGTAAGTTTGAATGAAATTCTTTAATTTATAATTTTAGTCGCGAAATATATTGGTGAACTTTTTTATTTATTTTAATTACGACGTTTTGGATGCTTTGCAGCAGTTGAGCACGTTAGGCTTAAAATTTTGTAGGTAGCCAAAAAATACAGTTTCCGTTCCACGAATTAATGGTTAATCCGGTCGTTAACAGCAACATTAAATCTTTTTTTAAGTTTGGTTTAATCAAATATTTTCATTTGTTTCAGGTGCGCAGCGAAATCCAATCTTTCAGGAACCGAAGCGCGCTTGTTTCCGTCACTGATGTGTGTTGCGTCTGCGATATTGCGTTGTTGCTGCGGCCGTTCTATTTATTCCCCTGCTCGCACCGCTTTCACACCGACTGTCTTCTTGCGCATGCGCAGCCCCTACTACGTATGTTTTGTTTAAATCTAATAAATGTAACTAATATGTATGTAAAGTAAAGCTTGTCCCACAGACTTGTGGGTGGGACTGTGAGTTTCACTGATCAGGTGATGATTTTATCGGGTGGCAAGCATTGTATACGATTATCTGTTCACTGTCAACTATTTAGTTTTTCTGGGATTCATACACTTGTGAAAAATATCGTTTTATTATGATTAATATTCTATAGATAGGATTATATATTTTCAATTTAAACCCAAAATATACAAGACGTATGTATAAACAAGAAGGCTCGATGTAAATTATTTATCAAAGATTTAATATTCCGCAGCTCCATCTCGTCGCAATAAATTAGCTGATCTCCAACGCCAACTAGCTGTTCTGTCCAACATAGAGCTATCTACGGTCACATCTAGCGGGCTACCGTTTCGAGAAGTACTCAGAAACGAAATAGACGACATCATAGCCAGTGAATGCATGCTGTGCGGAGAACACATGATATCCTGCATCGACCGTCCTTTCATCTCTGATGAGGATTGGGATAAAGTAATGAAAGAGTGGGAGTGAAATATTTCCCAACGCTTGTTTAAAGTGTTGCAATCTAGGTGGATTTACTTGTAGATCATGTTTATATTGTATAAACCATCAAAGTAGGTTTAAAGATTTTTGCAAACAATCAGATACAAATATAAAATGACTTACGCATGCTACAACAAGCACCTTTTATATTTAAGTATCCTGTATATTTATTTATCTGTGTATTCCATATACTTGTTACTTATAAGTTGATTATTATAAACAATATATTTTTTTTGTATTATCTGTGATGTAATATTAAAATGCACTGTACTGACAGTAACACTGTTTTATTTAAAAGTTTTAAATAAATACAACAATCTAAAAATTTACAATTTATTGAGAAATGTTATCACATAGATAAACAATAAATTACATTATATTAGGATTTAAATAACAAAAGACCAAATCCTAGTTAAATAGCATTTGCATCACGATAATAAAAACTTATAAATTACAAACATAAATACAAGTTGCAACACTGGTGTGGGCACTGGCAAACACAAAGGGTGATAATAGGCCTGTGCAACTATCCCTCCTATGACAATTCACTAAGGGAAACTAATTTTATTGACTAGCAGCACCATCTACTTCCATGCTATCTCCGTTTCCTTTGGAGTCAGCTAAATGTGTTTCGTTTTTCTCTATTGGTTCTTGCTTATTGCTATCTTTATTTACAATTTCGGCATCCTTATTATCTTTAGCAGTTTCCTTATTAGCTGTTTCTTTTTCGTCCTTTACGGTCTTATCTTTGCTTTTGTCTCGCTTTTTTATCACTTTAGTCACTTTTTTAGGACTCTTTTTTTCAGGGGTATCTGTTTTTGTCTCTGGCTCTGGAATCGTACCATCAATTGGCCTTGTATCTTTAACCTGTGACTGGGGAATCTCTGGTTGCACAGGCTCTACTGTCTGAGCCTCCATTGTTTCAGATTGACTTTTGGACGGAGTTAATTTTTTAGTACTTTCGCTTTTTTCAGGTGCACTCTCAGTTTTAATGGCTTCCGTTTCCATTAATTTTTCTTCTTCGGCCTTAAGAGGTTTATTTTCTTGTAGTTCTGATTGTTGAGGTTGCGCCTGCTCTATCTGAGACTCACTTTCCTGTTCTGATTTTTGCGGTTCTTGCATTTCTACATCACCGTTTTGTACAGCCTCCTGTTCTGCAGCCTTTTCATCCGCAGTCGGCATTTCTGCATCTTGCGGCTGAGGTGTAGTATTACTTTTGGCGGCTTTGGCTTCTAGTACAGCTATACATTTCTGAATACATTTGATGGCTTCCCTCCTTGCTTGTCGTATATTTTCTTTGCCCTCCGTTTCAATGTTGTCTAGCTTTATAAGATTCCTAGTTAACATTTCATCTAGGTAAATATATTGTTTATCTTTTTTGGTTCCTGAGAAATTTTCTACTTCTGTCATAAGATTAAGAACATCGGATTGGATACTAAGTATTTGCGTAATGGGATCATTCAAGGAGGGTTGTTTAGGTTGAGGTGATGTCTGAGGCGATTGTTGTTGAGGTGACTGTTGTCGTGGTGGAGGTTGAGTTGCACGTTGCGGTGAGGGCTGCTTCGCCTGAGGCTTGGACGGAGGCGGAGCAGTTTGCTCATGGTATACTGGCACTTTTACAAAATGTTCTTCAGGTTGTGCCTGCGGTTTCGGGGATTGTGATCGCTGAGGTGAGGCGCCTCGCGCAAACGCATTTTGTGGGTACATTTTTTGCTGGGTAAAAGGCTGAGGTCCCTGCCTAAAGCCTTTGTTAAATGGAGTTCCGAAGGATCTTGAGAAATTTGGTGGATGGTGAAAACCATGGGGAGTGTCATCTGCAAAATACTGTTCTCTATCGATATGAGGTTGCGGAGGAGGCACATAACTGGGCTTACTGTCACCAAAATGAGTACCATGGTCCATTCTCTTGTTTATGACTGGTTCATCTCTACCTTCTACAAAAATAGGTATGTGCCGGACATTGGAGGATGGTTCATGTTGGGGAAAATGATCTGGGTGTTGTTGGCCGCTCATCTTGTTCGCGTGGTTTCCCGTTCGGTTGTCAGGTGGTGCTGACATAGACCTGTGCGTTCTATCTTCAGCATCAACTAGACTGGGATCAGCTGGGCTTTTTTGGCCGAGATCGACCGTATTTCTTAATCCGTATTGTGGTATCTGCTGTTCTTCTTGTTCTGGAGGACCGGCTTTCGAGTCTGTTTGTGTAGCTGCCGTTTGTTGCTGGGGTGACGGTGGCCGTTGATAGGTCGGCGATGTCGGTTGGTCCTCACGAGAGCTGAATCGACGGTTCCAATGTGAAGGGAAGTGTTCCCTAAACTCAGGCGGGATGTCGTCGAAGGGGAATCTATCAAAGCCACTGAAGCTATCACCAAAATCTGCAATGAGAAAATGCTTAGTTAAAATACTTGTAAACGGGTTTGGCCATCTTACCGACGAGAAAGTGTTGAGGCAAGAGTCTTATGATCAAATCTAAAAACTAAGTTTACAGTTAAAGGTACAATATACTTATGAAGCATAAATATCACACCAACCGTCAGTAGTATCCTGACTGGAAGGGCGTCTTTTACGGGCCCACGTAGCTGGTCGCTGACGTAGCCGAGCTGCTATATCGGGATGACGCGCCGCAAGATCGCTCCACGGACCGCTACCTTCCTCCTCATCAAATGGAAAACCGCGCTGAAATATTTTATTTATATAAGTATACATTTTGTTTATTATGTTTATAAACTCATTTAACATGTACCCATGTTCCATAAAAAACCCAATCCATTCCTAAAAGTAAATAATAAAGCGGAAAGTATATAAAGTATATTTATTTTGAGTACATACGCAGCTGAAATAAGTTTTCAAAATTTTGTGGCAATAATAGGTCTTAACCGTTAGTAGGAACGTACATAATTCGTTGATAAATGAAATGCAAAACAAATCATGAGTCGGGTGTACAATGAACTTGTAATCGAAGATCTACCCAAATATGGCTGGGGAGGCCGAAAGACGACCTCACATAGTACTTTCGTATCGCATTGAATAAAGTTGTATGAGATAAAAATTAATTGGCACTGACCTAACTTGGTTGGTGAGTATTTAAATGGAAGCTATGTATCACAGCTCTTCTATAACGTTAACTTCTGTAGCATTTGCGATAAATTTAAAATATTATTATAATAAATAAACACGTCTGACGGATTGTTCTGAACTCAAATTTGGCCTAATAAAAATCAGCATATTTCCAATATAGAAGAGTCGATAGAGAAACGACTTGCGTTCCAAACAAGATTGTATAGAAAGAATAAATTGTACCACTAATTTGAGATTGTCGCGAGTGAGATACAGATTAGTCCAGCTGATCTCCGATTTAGGATGACATCATACCGTGTAGGAGAATCTCGCAAAAACAAATGTCAAAACACGTCACGGTGAGCCCGCCATCGAAATACCTACATATGTGGCACGTGTCGTAACTCGTGATCAAAATAATATTGCGTTAGTTCTGTTACTATTAGGTAAATATTCACCATTATATCATATGTTCAAAATAGATTCATAAATAAATACAGTTAGACGAACCTAAAATGTAAACTTGTATGTAAGTTTCAAAGGTCGAAAAAAAAAACAAATAAAACATACTGTTTTACCGGTCATATTTATAAGCTGTGGACCGGACCGTCTTTCGACTTTATTAACATTTAAAAATATAAAAGGAAAATAAATTGTTCGACTAGTATTTTTCGTAAAAATTAAATAAACAAGCCACCTATCACGAATTCGTTCAAATCATTTGAACGATTACATGATGTGATAAATCTTAAATTGTCTGCAATAATTAGTATGCAATTTGATTCCTCTGGTGAACATATGGCGTCGTAAGGCAATAATGTAGTCTTAAGTCATTGACCGCTTAAATCATTGAATATTTTTGCGATAGATGTAAATGTTACGTCTTTTATATAATTCCATTAAAAACATTTGTAAATACTGATTATAAGAATATATTTGAATGTGAATTTCTTTGACGACTATATGGGCAGACATAATATGTTTGATGCTGTGTGCTACGTTGATCGATTTTATTTACAGGCAAATGATTACTCAGACGCAAATAATTCTTTCTGCGAATACTGTATGTTATAAATTGATTATGCAAGATCATCAATTATATTCATACCAACGGCCGGTAAATAAAAAGTAACAAAAAAATCAATAAATAGATTGTAGAGTCAAGTTGACTGTCTTTCAGGTTCTCGAAAGATTTTATGTCAACTCCGTATTTGCAATCATGTAGGCGGCTAAAGTGACGCATTTGAACAGCAACACCGTTTATGTATATCCGATATTTTTCCTTCTAAGTAGAATGACATCATCGAGGTATGTTTACGTTTGGTAATCCTAAATAGAATATACGAAATTTCACAAAGCCAAAGTTTTGTAAATATTGTTGCTATGGTGTACAAGAACAGCTGAAGTTGAAAATGTTAATGGGGGGTACTCGAATGAACTGAAGCAAGCGGCCGGAGCGAAAACGTATAGCGAAACCGGCCCTTAAAAACTCACACAATTTTTTATTTTATCATAGTTGAAAGGAATAATGACTGACATCAAATATATACAACGAATATCAGTATAAATTATAAAATGTACGACACGGGTGAAACTTGAACCAGCATCTATAGTGTGCTATCTTACCAATTGAGCACTTCTTTATTGTAGCTATTCTAGCTGCAAGAACGCGTTGTTCTTACTAAAAATCTATGTAATAGTAAAACTTCAAGCGAGTGGCATTCGAATCTACGCGATTTGGAATCTAATCTATCCAAATGGCCAGAAGCCGCTTCTGTAACAGCGCGTGCCGGCTATATCTGTTCCGCATTTAGCTTCTCAATACACAGACGCTAAATTATTATCTACATTACGCTCAAGAGGCTATAAACTATTAACATCACGACGCGTTATCATCTTAAGTGTTTTGATGGCAAAGTGTTCTGGCGCTAGGGATCAAGCCACCAACCCACTTATAGCACAATGTCTGTTTATCTGAGATGAGCTTTATTATTTCACATATAAGGTAGAGGCAGAGTAGCCTTACTGCAACTTTATCACTTGAGTTATGTATTTACATTTTCATAGTCTAAAAATGTTCATCTACAAGAGCATATGAAGTATATTGACCAAATTTTGATTAGACAAAAACTGTTCTTGCGAGTTACTCTTGCAAGATAGGCTTATACCTACTATTGGGATTATTTATTCATATTTTTTTGGTATCATGAACTGATTTTGTATCGCACGCAACGAAAACCCTTAAAGATGAATAGTTTCTCTCGTATTTTCTACATTTCCCCCTGTATCTTCGCTTCTAGTAGCGGCAGAACGTTTTATGGCCTTTAGAGGCCTTTGTCGATAAATGCTCTAGCCGACACATTAAGAATTTTTCAATTCGAACCAGAAGTTCCTGTGATTAGCGCGTTCAAACAGACAAACTCTTCAGCTTTATAATATTGGTATAGACATGAAAATAACGACATTAAATAATACTCCACGTAATGTTAGTACGTGCTAATATAATTCTAACGTGTTCATAAATAAAGTCATTTTAATCTTTGATTAAAATATATAAATTTAAAACATAAGAATAGTTAGTTACGTTTGACCTTCTTACTTTCTATAATCTATCTATGACCTCCTGGTAAGGCCATGCCACTGAAATATTAAGAGCGCACATCTATAAATGGCATTTCGATAACAGCTGCGCTCGCGCCGGTGACTCAGAAGTCGAGACAAATTTCGTATTAAGGAAATTAATTTAAAGTGAAATTAACATGTAAATTAACTAGGTATAATATTTGCCTAGGGTTCGAAACAAAATATTTTCCCCACCTAAGTGACTGTTCTTTCTAGGAAACAGTAAAAATATACATACGTCTTACAAAAACAATGACACATTTTTTTGGCGAAATACCAATTTTGGATTTAAATATACTTCATTTAATAACGATCGCTGTGTAGTTCGAAGCGTGAGAAATATTCGGGTATTTTCAGATAAAGAAAAAATATAATACACGCGAAGTGTTATGAATTGATGCACCACAGTAAAATAATCTGTTTTTGTTTTCGTCGAATTTTTATAATCCAATTTATTAAGTAAAACATGTTAAAATACAGGTTTTATCAATAAACTCAGATCTTGTTAAAATACAGGAACTTGTTTATAACTTATACTTTCGAAAACTATGACAAAATAAAGGATTTAGTTTACAAAAAAGAATCGGAGTACACTAAGGTCAATGACCGCCAAACTTTGATTAGAACTATTCGCAGTGAATCGCTTAAAAATATTGAAATTAACAAGCCCAACATTTTTTAAAAATTGTTATAATTTCTATTTATACAACAAGATAATTTGTTTAATTTTAATCAACTAAAGGCCTACCTCATTCCCATGATACTCGGGCGGTTTATCGACAACAACTGGCGATTCCATATTACAATAGTAAACACAGCACGTAAAATCACTTCACTTATATAACAATCGAGCAATCACTATCGTCTCTGAGAAACAACTAAGCGTGAGGACGACGCTCGAACAGTTTTATAGAAGCGTCGCGTTTTCGAGAATGTACTCGATCGTTCTAGAGATGCGTGGTCGGCGCTAGTGATGTCTACACTCGGCACAATATCGATTTGTTGTAATAGCCCTTATAGTACGGGCTGTTAACCGCTTTTATTAACTTATCGTTTACTAGCTTCCGCCACGGATTTGTCTTCGTTGTAATTTTCGGTTGTTATTTTTTGTAACTACTTTTCTATTTAAATTTAATAATCTTAAGTTAAGCAAGTTATCTTACTATTAAAAAATATTTGGTTTTCGATAATGTTGAGTGTATGACCCCCGCGGCAGTTTTAAGGAAGTGGGTCAGAAATATTAATAATTATACACCCCACTTATAAGTATGTAATAATTTTAGAAGATGATTTGTTTATAAAAGGCAGACTAAATGGTGTTGTGTAAAATTTTGTTCTTTGATTATAAAAAGAGAGAGATGTGCGTTTCAGATATACAAAAAAGTGGTTCTGTAGTTACTATACACACCAAAGTGGGAGTGAAATCGAGTGGGGTTTGTTGAGTCTGTATTTGGTTCAGTGCAATTCTTACCAACACCAGGTTGTTCGAAAGCTTTAGATGGAATCTCTTTTGCACAAACGCATACGTATATTATATAGTTTATAAATAATATTTTCATCTTAATATAACAGTTCGCCCTCCAATATTATTAAAATAATACACTTGTGGTCATGTACACCAAGCAACCTTGTTAAATATATTTTATGTACCTGAAGATATCCCACGCAATGTATAATTTTGACAACTTCAGGGTCCCTTGCCCCAACAAAACGTTACAACCAGCCGTTTAGAAATGAATAGTAATAAGTTCAAAGTAATATTAGCCATGAAGTTGTTATTTATGTCCATTTCTTTAATTGATGTTGAATTTAAATCCTTTTTGTTTAAATCAAAAGAAATAACAAAATAAATAAAAATAAAATACACTTTATTCTCTATAAACACCATTTAGATTTGTAAAAAGAAATATGTTTGTCTGTCCTTTCGTCGTAATTCTACAGAATCTAATTAATAAGAACCTTTGATAAAAAAGGTAATATAGAAAGATTGAAAAAAATATATCTCATTTGTCTGTCCTACTAATCTCAGTAATACTGCACGGATCTTTTCTCGGTTTAGATAGAAAATTATTTGATCTGGTAGAAACAAAATTTAGAATCTGGTAGGCAAAAGACCGCAACCCAATTTGACTATCCCGCACAAATACAATTAAAGTCGAAGTCGTTAAATAATAAATTATAGGCAAACGTTTTAATAATCTACAAAGCATATAGAGAGTGTACAATATTAATTAAACTACATATAAGTATATATTGTAACGATAATATAAAAACAAATGTACGAAAAGTCATTAATTTAACAATAACAACTATAAAAAGTCCGGCATCGTTGAGACTCGAGTCCGCATTTACATTGTAAGAATTTTATGACAGTGTTGTGTTTTTATAGAGGAAATGGAATAATAAGTTATTTACTGAGATGCGCACGATTGCTGGTTTTTGTAAATGCAATGAATAGGTACTCGCTTTTATGAGCTTAAGTTTTTTGTGCTATAAAAGTTTTATCTGTATTAAGAAAAGTTCGGCTTAATAATTTTTTGGTTTGTACTTGTTACGGCGTAGTGTCACATATTTTCAGGACAAAAAGTAGTTCGATTATTTCAGTTTATAGGTATATAGAAGCCAAGACTTATCAAGTACTTTAACTCATACAACAGTCACAATATTATATAATCAACGCGGTTTAGGATAAAGCTTGTTTCAAGGTGGTCTGACCTAAATCTCTACTTTAAAGTAATACACTAACAAAAAAAACCGCTGCCCGTTAGTACTTGGCTACGTTAGTACTAATTGTACGAATTGTATCACGAAGATAAAACCTATACCATAAAGCTATATTACTAATAACAAAAGGCAGTTCAAATACTAGAAATTAAGAGAAGGGGTTCCTATATGACAAAAATATGATTAACATATTTATAAGGATGACTGCTCACTTCCAAAACGAGAGAACCGTCACAATTTGGCAGCCCACGATTTATTGCAGTTGCAACGTGATGGCGGAGCAATGACCGATACCTTTGATCGGTCCAGAAATACAACCCATGAGGCAACATTATTGTCCTATTCATGGTACAAGGAAGAGGATCGCCTTACTTTATTGCTGATATTATATTCACATTGCCTTTCAGAGATCAATAACCTGGCTGATGGTAGTGTGGGAAGTAGAAAAACCTATATTTCGTGTGTATAAAATGTCTTTTATAACACAAATCATTATAACAATAGAAATAATATTACACTCTTCAATTGAGAGGGAAACATTTTGATTTTGTTTTGTCGTTCAAGACTGTTTGTAGTTCTAGGTCTAGTCTGTAAGCGAGTAGTACACATTTAATTAAAACATTTTAATGGTTTAAAACACGATATATATTAGTTAAACTTATACGTATACAATTATTTTAACTACGGCCTTGACGTTTCGGATGCTTTACAGCAGCTGTGGTCACCGGAAGAATAAATAATTTTCAAATAAGTTTAACTAATATATATCGCGTTTTAAGCCTTTAAAGTTCTTTATATAAATTGTAAATTATTTTCTTTTGAATATATTCATTCACCCGTAAAACGAATCTTAGACAATAATAAAGAACAGGCCTCAGTAACAAAATACAATCTTATATATAGGTACGATTAATTAAGATTATGAATTCGATATTTTGTCCGACGAATAGCTTTGGACGTAGTTACTAATAGATTTCAAAAGAATATAAGAAAACAATTAATATGTCTTCGAGATTAAATCGCTTGGCTTGAACAGAGGCTTTGTCATATAATGATCGATTCGTTTGCCAAATTACGATTAGATATGTACGCTTTACATTTGTATAATTTTTATAGAAGATTATGCATTAACAAGTTAATTTTATAAGGATATAGGCACATTAAAAGCGCCTTTTTTGCGCTTCCTTCGCGGCAAAAAAATTTCTTCATCCATTTAATGAGTACATACATCACAATTTCAATAGGTATCCAACATAATACCGTTTGTAAATGCTGGCAAATTGGACTTAAAAAAAATAGATCTTATTATTAGTCTAGTCTATGGAGCAAATATTAATTTTTAAGAGGTAAATTGATACTGCAACATATATACCGCGAATAAAGATTTTTACTGTTTTAGATATATATTGGCCGACTTATTTTATTATGACCTGACTTTTCTAATTGTTTTACAAATGCCGTGGTCATGGAGCACTGAAGATGAGGTTCAGTTCTGAAAAGATCCAGCTACTTTCTTCTGATTCCAGCTGATTTGACTTTGATATTACGGGAACCCTTCATCGTCAGTCGCCATGATAAGTACTGGTCTGTATATAAAATCGGTCAGACACTTTTTGACGGTGTAATATATAACAAATATTCGGGTTGTGGCCTCGATCCTCATCGGTCCCTATGTATTGATCACTTTTTCAGAGATATGTTGTCTGAAAAACTGGTTATTACGTGGGTATCAAAGTTACCAAAGTTCCGTCCACATCATTAACCATCGTTCACAGATAAAAATGCCCTGAAGTTTAGTCCGCATCAGTCTCTGAATATCCAAAACCAAAATAGGTTTATTATACTATATATTTATTTACGAACCAACGGACTTACGACAGTAGTTATTATGCACACAATGATTGAAATATTTAAATTAATTATAAATCAATTTCAAGTACTGATCTGTAAATAAAACGATCAGACACTGAAATGATTCTGCCCCATACCCCCATGTGGAGGAAACGGAATTTCACATGTATTATATCTAAAGTAGGGCGAAAGGCGAATTATATAGGAGTGGTTTAATTTGTTTCAGGGTTATTCGGAATTATATAAACAATCTAACTAGGGCAACAGGCTACGTAGGAGGACTGGCCGACTGTCAGATACCTACATATTTCGTAATACAACGTAAAAACTAAAAACAATTTATAGATGTCCCTATTTAGTGAAACATGAAGAAACTTTTAATGGACTATAATAATTTAATTGCCATTATAAAGTTTGTTTTGTTAGTAAGTTTTGACAGGGTTAACTTAAATATCAATATCAATCTTAATACCTTGAAAGAAAACCTAGACTCAAAGATTTCAATATAAGTCTAATTTTTGTATTAATGTGTATTAGTATTAATTTACGTTCGCGTTAAGTATTTTGAATCCAATTATATATTTGTCTGAATATAACACGCAAATATTCTTGTTTGTGTTCTGTGGACAGTCTAAAATGAGTGAAAGTGGAAATTATCAATTTAATAAATAAACCAGAAATAATTCAAAATGTATCGTATGATATATATAGCACAGTCGAGATTCAGACATAAAAATAGTGATGCATCAGCGGTTTGAAAGTTGGCAGTACTGTGACAGTACCAACAGCTAAACAAAGAAAGGGTACTCACATTGCGCTTCATTTCAGACTGTCATTGTTTTATCGAATGAAAATTGGCGTTTCTGCTCCAGCGCAGCGCTAACCCAGCTCTGAGCGCGGTGTGGGTGAGGCGTCTAACCGAAATAGAATTTGGAATAATTCGGATTATGATCGCCACGTCGGGGATGACGAAGATCAAGATCGTCTGGACGTCATTGCAAGTGTGGCAATAATAGAGAAAGCTCGATAATGAGTTTGAATAGCTTAAAATATGAACTACATTTGAAACTGAATATCTGATAATTTAACATGTGTAATGTATATAATAATGTATGTAATAACCTACTCTAATTATACCAACTGAAACTACAATACATTTAAAATAAAACACTCTCAACGGTTTTAAACGCGACCTACTACTCATTGATTTATTTTAGCTTCGAGCCGCGATTTACATTTTTTTAACGACCGTGACTACAATCTGCTCTAGTAAATTTTTATTAAGATTAAAGTGTTCGTCTAAAGCGGAAGGATGAAAAAAAGGAAACATAAGAAGAAGAGGAGGTCTGCAAAAACAAATTTGGATGCCAATAAATAACTATTCCACGCGAACGCAGTCGCTGACACAGCTTGGTTAATGTGATTTTGAAATAGTTTTATTTAAGAAAGTATATAGTTTTTCCTAATCGCTTCACCTTGTTGTATACAAGGCCTTTGACAAGATGAAATAAAAATTGTAGAGGAGATGGCTTTGTTAATTTTTGTTTCGATAAAATTACTTACTAGAGCTAATCATACAAACCCTTTCCGCCTCATTCCAACCCATATATTGCTCGGTATGTGAGTAAAGAAACAAATGATATCACAATCTTAGTCAAAGGATGTGTAACAAGAGACTAACAATTACAAATGGAGAAATAATAGAGCAATCGAAGAAATCGCCACAGTGCGTAATTTTAATCATTTGACAAGTCATTAAGTCAGTCCTTGGACCAGCATCATTAGCACCCACGTTGTTCCCCACTACCTGAACATGAATGGTATGCCTACGCTATTTCCAGTGCAACGGCGCAATTGCAACAGACTGTTTCAAATCCAAACCAATATTATAAATGTGTTTGCCCTTTCTCCACGCCCTAAAGTAGCAACTAATCTAATATAATTTAGGTAATACTAAATTCGACGGGCTCGTTGTTCTAATGGTAGCAATTAATATCTAATAATCGTCGTGGTCGTGGGTTCGAACCCCACCGGGTCGAACAGGTTTATATTTCTTCTAAAACTTATTGGAATTCGTCTGGAAATCTGCATATTAATGGTTCGTAGGAATGAGAAAAGCCGTCAGTCAAAGCTATATTTGACAGCTCATCCTGATAAGATGAACCCCATGCATGTTTTCCTCTTTTATCTTATAAAAATGATCCAAAGGATACTTTGAAAGTTTCCTTTCTTTGTTGTGAATAGTTGCTGACGTGCTGAAAGTTAATGAGTATTTTAACAAGAAAAATCGTCTTTCTTTACGATTCCTAGTTTTAATCTCTTACGTCCTGACTTTTACGCGAGTCAAGCCACAGATTTAAAGTAAGTTAAGTCAAATTAATATGAAAATAACTTATAACAATTAGAAATACATGTACCATAAATGCGATAAGTTTTTTTTTAATACACGTTATAGAATTCGTTAACGATGGTAATTTATAATATTCTATACACTTGTTTTATTTTACATTACAAGAATATATAAACGTATATTTCGTATCGTAACGTTTGACAATAGCCACTTTGATGTACATCAATCTGTATTTATATCATAAATCATGTCAAACAGGTTTTTCCGTTTTCCATCGGCTCTACAACATCCATCTTTGTGATGTTTCCGCAGCGATGTTATAATGACAATGTTCGCATCTAGATGGTACATAGTAGATGATCGTATTACGTGATATACTGAACTGGCCTTGAAACATACATCTCCGGTAATAATAACGTATTGACAAAATGTACCTTTACATCAACGTGGTTAAAACTTTATTGAAACCGGTTTATTTATATTACGTGTATAAGTTTGTGACTACTTTCAACAAAAATTATATAACATGTAATTTTGACTACAAGCACTAAGTTACAAAAAAAAAAGGGCAAACCATGTGATCATCATGTACTTGTAGTTTTACAAATGTGAAATTGATCTTGTCTGGTAATTAATTTAGTTTGGCCTCATGAAATCTTAATTAATCTTAACTCTGTATGTATAGAATTTTATACAATACAGGATAAAACTTTTATTCTATGAACTATTTATAATGGTTAATATTGAATGATCCATTAGAAAATAAATTAATAAGATAAAGAAAAAAAAGTGTAAAAGTGAAATCCTTTCCAGCAACTCATAACTTGTTTTGGCAACATTGAGAAACAATAGAACTAGAAAATACTGGAAGGTAATTTTAATCCAAGTAGACTGGCTTAGTGATTATAGTGTTATGGTTAAACCTTCGTGAACACATATCAATATTGTATTAAATTAAAAAGTAACACATAAAAATTAAGTAAATTTATAACCTCTTGTTTTATTATTCATTAAACAATTAACAGGTCAGCATCACAAGTGTCTTAGAGAAATGAATTAATCCTATCACAAGATAAAAGACAAAGCATTGCTAAATTTGGTAACAGTTTAAGTTAATAAACATATAACTCATAACAATTCAATACATACAAAGTCATGCAAATTATACCAATCCACCACAACTAAAAATAAACAATTTAAAGACAAATCATAAGTGTACATAACTTATTTTGTCCTAATTCACATAAGAAATGTGTCATCTTCCGTGAATAAGGACTAAAAATATTAATGAACAATGCTCTGGAAATACTACAAATACAACTAACCTCACAAACAGGCAGTTAATGGAACGCAGGATCACTTGTTATCAGGATTCAACCTTCCTGAAAACCACATCAGACATTTGCAATACCATCGAGAAAAAATGGTTAAGACCTATCTATTATTTTGGTTGTTACAAAATCAAGGATACTACTTTTGGATATGAGCCAATTCTTGGTTGCACTGGGGAAAATGAAAATCATGCATCTAAGACCTAAATGACACAAGAAGCGGCATTAGTAAACATAAATTGATAGATATCTTAACGTATTGCATAATATCACTTGTAAACATACAGGGTTAGAAGTTAAAATAAGGGAAGATGCACAACAAGGTTAAGATTATTAAGACCACAATAATTATATATGAAAACTTACGAAGTTTGAACCTCGAAAGGGCATTTCAAGACTTAATAGTTAATGAAATACGACACTGCGTTTCACTGTAAACTTTCGGCACGACACACAGTCCACTGTATTACGAATTTTAACACCTATCGCGTGTTCGCAGTATTAGACGTAATAATAGTCAAAATTATTTTACCAATATAAATAAGTGCCTAACACTCGACAGAAGAGGAATATCACAATTTATTTGACTTTACGAGTGTAACTTCAGGTTTCGATATACTAAAATAAAATACTAATGTTCACAGAATATCATCGTGTGATTGAGTATTGCCTGATACTCGATTCTTTAAATTGAACCTAATTTCGTCAAGATGCAAGAAAATACATAAATGATATGAACATACTCCAATGATTTAAAACAGCAGCGTATATTCAAGATGTTTTTTTCCTTATGGTAAGTTCTTTAGACAACATTATTTAAAATTAATCAAAATTTGAAAATCATAATTGATCCGTAAGTTATGCAAACTTTGTCTCATATAACTATACTGGTAACCCGATTTTTTTTCTGCGTACAAATATTGTTCTTTCTTGACAGCTTGATAATCAGATACATACATAAGTTCTAGAACAATCGTACCACATTGACAGCCTTCTGACACTATGAGACCGTCAGTATACCGATAAGTATATTTTTAACCTGTCTCGGTAAAAATAGTATGTTGTTAGCCGTGACATAGTCTGTGATATCAATAAAACAACTTTATGAATGACGTTAGATAATCTTATCTGTGCTTTAAAGAAAAACATTTGCTATTAGTAGTTGTGAAATACATAATGTAAATATTCCTCAAACCTCATGTAGAGCGCAGTATACATTGTTATCAATTGTATTCACTCTATAACTCCTAATATATAAATAATAGTATTTATATATTTATTCAAGAGAAATCCCCAAGGGAATAAGTGGCCACCATGGAAAATGCACAAATATTGACCAAACTTAAACTTTTATTTGAAAAAATTGCAGAGCCTGGTTATGTTATGGAATATTACTACGCTGATAATTTCTTTATTAAATTAGGCTCCAGTGATCATGGTAAGTGGTTTTACACTAATAGTATATTTGTTTTACCCACATAGTATTTTTCTTAAACCGTAGTTAGCAAATTAATATTTTTATTCCTTAGTTTTCTATAATTAATTATCTTAGTGGTTGCCAAGTCTCTCAATTTAATTTTTTTATTTATTTGTAATATTTTCCTGAACAAATAGCTTTACATTTTGTAATATTATATTATTATGTTTGTCAAAAAATTGGAAATTACTTTCAATTAAACATATGCTGGATAAACTTAGAACTAAGTTGTTTAGTAATTATATCTACATCAATGCTATTTAGGTATCTATGAGGACTGTAAAAAACTTTTTAACTTTTCATTTTTTTTAGAAGTGTTAGCTTTAAAGTCTTTACCGATAGTGCCAGATATGTTGATAGATGCGTTTTACCGCACAGATAATTATCATGTTACAGTAAAAGTCTTTCTAGTTAGACTTCTTGCCTTTATTACAAATAATGAAGTGAACTTTGCAAAATTCAGTGCAAAAAAAGGGCATGACTTGGCTAAAGCCTTTGATGATATTAATTCTCCTGATATGCACACTAGCCTGAGAGTAGCAAATATGGAAGTTGCTTTGTCATTGTTAAATCACAACTCGGGTGTGCACTGGTTATTAGAAAGTAATACATGGCAAAAGATACTTACTTTGTGTAATGAGAAGAGAACAGTATTTATAGTGAGGCAGACTTATAAATTTGTTTCCACATTTATTTGGAAATTAAAAGACTTAGGTGATGATGCTAATGTTAGAAATGTTTTGGCATTTATTTTAAAACCACTTGAGGTGGACTTAGTACAAAAAAAATCTATAACTAGCGAAGAAGAGGAAGAAATATGTAAGACTTTTGAGCCTATGTTACAAATGCTCCTCAGTATTGTAAGCAATGAAAAAGCAATTAAGTCAAACAATTGTGTTATGCACTATTTACTACAAGAGATAAAAATAGAGACTTATTGCCACATTATGCTGGATAGGCTGAGAAGAGAGGATATATGGTTACTTACAACAAAATTTTTGTTCTGGTCAGCGATTGGAAAGTTATTTCTAATAAAAACACTTCCATCTGGTGTTAAATATGAGAGAGAAGACTTTATGGAGTTGGCTGTGACATACTTCAATACCATACATAGATTGATTCAAAAACGATCGCCTAAACTTTTATTTGACTATTGCAATGCATGTAATATTATTTGGGGTAGAGTGTGGAATCATGAGGAGCCAATAAGGTGGGAGGTCCATGAGAAGCATATGGAAATGCAGTCACAGTTGTTAATTGTTAGCCTTGTTCCTCCACTTGTATATGTGACCCTTGGCAAAAACCAGTCTATAGATGAAAGTGAGGGAGCAGTGGAATTATACATTAATACAATCATGCAATCCACATGTGAGCACACAGCGAGAGCTGCATATGCTGTGAGGAACATGATGCTACAATTGGATGTTTTGCAAACAACATTACTTAGTGTCAAACGACTAACATTCCTTAAAAACCACCTGAACAATGAACAAGCAAATATAGTATTCCAAGCAATGTTTTATGTCATTAAGGAATTTGAGCCATTTGATGAAGAAGGTCTTATCAGAACAAACTATTGTTATGGCGACGAAATGGATAAAATTTCTGTGATGGCCTATGTTTTAGACACTTTGCTATTCCTCATAAGAAACTATAACATCAACTGGCAAGAGAGTCTTGAAGTTATATGTTTAAATGCAGTTGTTTACAATGTCTTAAAAAGGCCAAACTTAAGCTGTAAGGTAACTATACATTTTAATTTCTACATATTTAAAATAATTAATATCACTACTATCTAAATGCTGAAACTAGCTGAGTCAGCAACTTCGTCCGCATAAAATAGTTATTTTGGACATCCTAACCTGTTTTTGCAAACCTTATCTTTATGAATATAAGCTATTACCTACGACTGCGGTCGCGTCCCTTCCCGTTGTTCTTGGAAGATAATCTTAAAAGATAGATATATAGCGTCGCGGACTTTTTTAGACCATTTAAAGAGGAATCATTCTATCTTACATCTTTTTCGGTATAACCGCTTTTGCAGCGTACGCGTCGGAAACCAATGATGAATAATTTCCCAATTCTTTTCGCATTTCTCGCTTGTATTAGTCACAGTGCAACGTTTTAGCCTATTGCCTTCCTCGGTAAATGCTCTAACCAACACAAAAAGATTCTTTTAAATTCGAACACGTAGTTCGCGAGACTAGCGCGTTCAAACACACAAACTCAAGTTATTCCATGTAATGAACTGGTTTTTAATTAATATTTTGTGTTTAATTATTTAATTAATATGTATTATCAATGACAATGAATTTATACATATACGAATCAACGTGTTGAAATAATTAAACTGAAATTTCAAGTGTTCGTTATATTGAATAAAATGGGTATATAAAAATTAATCTAACCATGATTTGTAATTCTGAATGATAAAAAAATAAACAAATCACACAGCATGATCATGGTATATATATATCATTTTACTTATTGTTATCATCATTGTCATTATCTCTCCTTAAGTTTCTCCAGTGATAACAGTACTTGACCTAAATTTAAACAGAAAAAAAGTTCAGCAACGTGAATTAGTTGCTCAAACTTCTTTTTCACCAATTATGTATACTTCATGTCTGTATTCTCTTTCAGTTTGTGGTGACAGCTCTTAACGTAATTTCAACAACAATAAAGAAGTCCTTAACACCAAATTTATCACTCCTACTGGATACGAAGCCAGGTTCTGGTATGCATGAAATCGGAATGCTGTTATACCTGAAGATGCATGATCTAAACTGGGAGATCCGAGACACAGCCCTTGAATTACTGCTTATTTGCACTGAATTCTCCTTTATAAGTGAGTGATGTTCCTATTTTTTTTAATGATAGATAAGGACAGACAAGCAAGCATCACTTGATGGTAGATGTAATAGCCGTATATTATATCTAAACAAGATGCGCGGTGTATTTTGGCTTTGGATATTCGGAAATTTATGGACTGACAGAAGCGTTATTAACTTCACGGCTTTTGTATCTGTGGAATCTGTGGTTCTGTGCGGCTCGGACTAAATTTTGATATTCCTACTGCTGATCTAATATCCAGATTTCCAGACGAAGTCCAACACGTATGAGAAAAATTTATTATTAGCCGTACAATACATAACTACCATTAAAACAACAAGAGGCCCGCAAGATTTTTTTGTCATGTATTGTATAGGTCAAAAGTTTATTATATATATTTATTTATTTATTTATCGTTTATTTGGTATTCCTAAGTACATAGTATACATAGGTTAAACCAACACAAACATTAGCCAAAACAGGATTACACAATTAGAAAAAAATACTATGGTAAAGAGCACAAAAAGAAATATGGTGTAAAATACTTAAGCTGAGTAGGTATAGAAGATTTACAAAATTTAATCTTAGGACATGTATATTTGCACAATATATATGTACATACACATTAATATATTTGAAAAATTATGATAAGAACACAAAATAAAAAAAAATAATAATTACAAGGGCTAAATTTAAACAACAAATCTACCAATCTACTAATTAATTGCCAAGGAAATAGATAAGGGGAATTTAAAGGGGGGGGTAGATTTTAAATATTTTATTTTATCATCTATGAAATTGATGGAGATGTAGGGGATTTATTAAGATAAAATATATCGAGATCACTGTAATATTTATTGTAAATACTGGTAGGCGATGCATTGAGTTATTTAATATATTAATAGGAATAGAAAAGGAAAAATATAGCTGTAACTGCATGTAGAGGCGGGCCCTTGTTGTTTACTGTACTACTTGTGTTCAGATAAACAGTTCTGTAATGCACAAAGATAAAATATTTTGTAGGTAATTACAAAAAATGCTTTATCTAGAGAAAAGGTCAGTCTCATGTTAAAAATAGCACAGTCATTACTTTTTCTCCATTCTTCATGATTATTATTTATTAAAAACATTAATTCAATGTAGGTATAAAGATGAAATGCCGTTTTACCGACCCTGTAAACAGAACAAGCACATTGAGTAATCATTATTTATCAAATTTGTATCTCCTCACAACAGAAACACCTTTATAAAATATACTTATAAGGACTTATCACATTGCAAGGAGGTTTGGTTGTGATTAACAAATGCTACTTATTTATTTACAGAATTTCCTTTTTTCCAAAAGCAGATTTTGTCTCACAAGCTGATAAATGTTGCTATGACTATGGCGCTTAACGATCATGAGTTCTATGTACGAGTATCTGCCCTGAAATGCGTGGGCGCAGCCAGCAAGGTGAGCGTACTTTGGGAACAGCTTAAATCCGAGTACCCGAATGTTCAGGTGAGTCAGTTACCTAGATTTTTCTAATTTAATTAATATTTTATCAATCGGTTGCTCGACTTTCGTTCTACTAACAGCCGCCTTCTCTCCATGACTATTCATTCATCAAACTTACGACTCTTCTTTATCGTTACAGGCTGTCTGTCTATGGAATGAGCTACCCACTCTTCACCCAGTCAGGCTCTCATTGTCACAATATATTTTAGGCCAGGGTTAAGCTTTTTTTTTGATATTTGTTTCTTTACTGAAATTTTGTTTTTCTTTCTACTTGCAAAGATTGCTTGAAAGAAATCGCCATAGGCGATAAGGCCGCCTTTGCATGAACATTTTTATTTGTATAAGTGTCTATGTTCTACTTCGGTGTAAATATGTTTGTGCAATAATGAGTTCCTATTATTATTATGTTATTAAAATTACGTTTTCTTTAATCAATTGTGTTCTAGACTTAGAGTCAAGCTGTTTTACTAATATTTTATTTTGATTTACAGGAGCTGATTCTGTCCAGGCTTTGCACAAATCCTGAAGGAATAGTCAGAAAGGAAGCGCTTAGTGTCCTCTGTGAAATGTATCAGAACGTTAAACACAATCTCCACATGAAAACCGCTCTTTATAATCAATTTCTTGCCGCATCGTTAGGCGATTTTCACTGGGAGGTGCAAATTAGCGCATTGAAATTTTGGCGAGTTGTCATCCAATCGTTACTTAGGGATCAGGGGATGTTAGATGGAACATTTCCCCCGGTTACCTTCTCAATCGAATCGAGAAAAATAGTGACTTTAACTGACAAAGAAATTCAAAAGAGATTACTCAAGATATTAGAGGAGCTTGCGTACATCGGATGTTTGTCGGTTTTAGTGAAATTGTTGCATGAAGATACAGAGGTGGAAGTTATGGAGTTAGCATTGTCTATATCAAACGAATTGTTAGAAATTCTAGATAGATATAGGGTACCTGGTTTTCTTAGACCAAGCGAAAATGATCCAAGTATAGAAGAAATTTTAACACTCGAAGAAAATAACATCCACAGCGAAGATATTGAACCTCAACACATTGAGGAATCTGAAAACGTTATTGACGGCATACTGAAATCAGACGACATTAATTTACTAGCTAGTATATACGAACGGCACATGAATATTAAGACTGAAGATTCAGAATTACCTGAGACTAATAAAAAGTTTACGAAGTTCGCTTCGCCCTATCTTTTTGTTAGATATTTGAAAAGTGAAGACTTTAAGGGGAAAATAGAGTATAAGAAAAATTGGAAGGATGGTATTCGGAGTCTGTCGTCGTTGATGGACGATGTTTTAGGCGTTTATGAAGTCAACAGTGAAGTTAACAATTTAGATTGTTATTGATTATTGAAGTTAACGCATAGATATAGGTCAAAGGTATTTATTTACATACCAAATAAATATTTTTATAAGATATTTTATACATCTTGTTATATTAGGTATGTTATTGTTTCTCTTTGTAATTTTTGTTACATATTCCTTTATTTTATGCAGAAATAAAATACTGTAAGTACAATATTGTTTTATATATCATTAGTTAGTCATTTTTACATGTTATTGCAAATAATAAAAAATGATGATATTTTATTCTTCCTGGAACATCATCTCAGTTGTGTAAAAATAATTTATTACACAGAAGTGTATAAATTGTGCTAGATTTTTCTAAGGGAACAACAAATCATTTAAAATGCTTATGAATAATAATATTGGGGATAGAAAAGCAAGACATTGAAGACATAACATTTTATTGACTAACAGCTAATACAAACTTAACTATACATTTTAATCTATTTCTATTTCTGCACCAACTTTAGTTAGAGCCTCTTTTAGCTTCTCAGCTTCATCTTTAGAAATATCTGCTTTTACAATTGTAGGTGCACTTTCAACAAACTTCTTCGCTTGTACCAAGTTAAAACCTTCTAAAAGATTCTTTACCTCTTTAATCAGAGCCACTTTCTGTTTATCGTCAAACTTAGTTAATTTTACCTGTAAAAGGAAGAACATAGTTATCTCATGATTAATTTCTTATGGTCATTAATATTAAACTATATGCAATGGAAGGTTAGGTGTTTACTACTGAGGTACAGTGGCAGTCAACATTAAAAATGATGCTTACGGTGAAATTAGTTTTGACAGCTTTTGGTGCTGCTTCCTCCTCCTCAGCGGGGGCCGCAGCCATAGTAAATCCTCCCATAGGCATAACGGGTGCATCCGGCAAGTTTAATCGTCTTTTTAGAACCTGACTAAGTTCGGACACTTCAAGTAAACTGAGATTTGTTATGTCTGATACAATTTTTTCTAATTTCGCTGAAACAGGTTTATCAATACCCTCAGGAGGTGGAATTGATATAGGAGAGACAGCTTCGGACACCTCTTGATGTAAAGGAGCACTGTAAATATACGAGTTTGTTGAAAGTTTTGCGGCTTGATTTATGTAACCTAAATACATTCAGTATTTTCAACATACCATCGTGATATCGAACGCCACTGTCTAATAGGAATTTTTCGCAAGACTGTAATGCTATTCATTGTTGTAGATATGGGGATTGTAAGTTAAAACTGAGAACTTTTTGGACTCCTTTATTCACAGTAATATTTATTAATCGAAAATTCACTTTAGCATGGGTATAATCATAGTCAAAGATAGTTTAACAATAGACAGTAGACACTAGACAACAGCACTGAAGTTGACAGCGAGCATGCCTCGTGTGTCAAAAATCAAAATATATTGAAAGTTCAATGACATTGACACTTCTTATTTTTTATGATTTAACGGTTTTATTAAATATTAAAAAAAAAAAAAAAAAACCCCCCCCCCCCCCCCGGTTCCTTCCCCCCCCCCCGCCCGGGGGGGGGCCGCAAAAAACCCCCGCCCCCCCAAAACCCCCCAAACGGCGGGCCGAAGTTAAAAATCATTTTCAAATAAGTTTAACTAATATATCGCGTTTTAAACCGTTAAAGTGTTTTATTTAAATGTGTACTACTCGCGTAAACTATAGACAGTACTTCTTATTTTGTATGATTTGTTTTTGTTATTATTGAATCACATTTAAGTTTCTGATTTTCTAGTATTAATGAAAAACTTATTGTTTGATGTTATGCCTTGCAAAATTAATATAAAAGCTAACTGTTTTTTTAATATTCATTTCACAATATTTGTGCTTAGATATATTTTAACTTAGTGGTTGATGTTATTAAAATTCAGTTAAATTGACGTCACAGCAATTTACAAGAAGTCGGTTAAATAGGTAAGAACCTAGTTGCATTTTGTTAAAACTATCTATATCTATACTATTATTCATAATAGATCATATATTTATTTATACATGCTTTGGGGAGAGTTTTGTATGTATTTAATTAAAAAAAAGAAGAAATAATTGTTTGTTTAGTAATAGTGATTTTATTTTGCATTTGTTTTTATAAAATATCATCTCGGATTTTATAAAAATTGTGTGACATTTACAATACTAAATTAGATATTAAGTAACCATGCCATTGAGTATTATTTTCATTTACCATATGTCACTGCCCTTTTTATTTCAGGTAATGGTTCCTTTCATCCCCTTACATTCCACTGTCATAGACACTAGGTTATATAAAGTTTGAATCTTCATATCTCTATGTGTTACAGCACATGTGATTATTCATAAATGTATTTAAAAAAATGAAATAATTGGCAAAGTGGGACATGGTACCATGCTTTACAAGCAAGCTTTGAGTCTATTGGGTGCGACTTCATCTAAAATGAGATATTTAATGAAGTCCTTTACAAGAGACCGATTAATATGTACAAATGATAATAAGAAATATATGAGACCGCTAGAGACAGAATGGCCTAACTGCTATTTTTATGACTTGAGTTATTTATATTTTATAGTTATTGATCACATGTATTAGAGATTGATGTTTATAGTCTAAGTGTTTATCTACTAGAGCACAGTGACTGAAAATTGTTAACATATTTTACCTAAGTTAATTGTGCATTTTTATTTTCCTCCTTAATCATAGCATGGTTTTTGTTACTACACTCTGCCTCTAGCAGTCTCATATAACAATTAACTTTAATAACAAAACTATTGCCTACAAGGTTACCTTTTATATTTACACAATGGTTCACTTAATAAAACCATTGTCTAACAATACTGTAATTGCAAGAAGTATTAAGTTTGAATTTTAAGAAAATTGCTAGATTAGGTTAGTAGGGCACAGAAATTTGGTCTAGTACTTGATACAGACACAGAAATATATCTGCTCGTAATCCACATACCCTCCTAATTTTATACTTGTCTGTTTATATATGTCAGTCTTATAAGCCAACACATCTCATTAATATATTTACATTGCAGTACAGAAACATTTTTTCTTTTATACTTATGTATTACATTTACCATAGATTATTAAACATGAATATGTTTATTATTTATTTTATCCTACAAGTAACTAGTGTTAATTTTACATAGTATATTTATCTTATAAACAAAATGCTAATTAGCAGTACTAGAAGCTTAGTTTAATTCCGCTTCATTTGCTTGTTATATGAAAACACGTGATCGTAAGTCACGCGCAGAGGTCCCGTGGCTCTCATCTCGCTGCACATGATAGTATAATGGTCTATGTGTAGTAGGAAGTGTTTGTGCATAATAGATTTGTCTCACTTTGCATGCAGCTTATAACACAGTAATCATTAACAAATATTGTAGATAACGAGAGTTACACATTAAAGCACGCTCATAACGGTTTTAAACATGAAGCATAGCAGTTAATTACAACAGCCTTGGTTGGTTAATATATTTCGCGTTTTAAATCATTGAAAGTGTTTAAACTGTAACTTCATGCATCACAATAATTAAGTAACTGATAGAGTACACTTTTTAAACCAATAAGAAGTGTTTAATTTAAGGAACTAGCTGCGTTAGCGACTTTTCCCGCGAGAATCGTTATTTTGGGCATCTAAATTCCTGAAGTTTTTGCCCCTTCATCTTTATAAACTTAAGCTGTTATCCACGATGTCGCTCGCGTCCCTTCCCGTCGTTTTTGCAAGTAAATTTTAAAATATAGACATATAACGGCGTGAACATTTTTTAGATCATTTAAAGAGGAATTTTTTGGGTATCTTGAACCGTTTTTGTAGCGTACGCCTGGGAAACCTACAATTATGAATAATTTTCTCTTTTTTTTTCACATTTCTCGCTTTATTTTCGCTTGTATTAGTCACAGCGCGATGGTTTAGCCTTTCTCGATAAATGCTCTAAGAGTCTATCCAACACAAAAATAATTTCTCAATTCGAACCCTAGTTCCTGAGATTAGCGCGTTCAAACATACAAACAAACAAACTCTTCAGCTTTATATATTATTAGTATAGATAAACAACGTTATACAATCACAAACGTTAAATACATTTTAAGCTACGTCTCCTTACTTTTGCGCTTTTGAAACACTAAATGTTTATTTTATAAGTTGCAACAGGTGAAAAGTTTTTCGTTTGCCTCATAATTTTATTAGCTTATAATTAGCTTCATTTGACGTCGGTTACGAATATAGCCAGCGCAAAGTTTACCGAAGAATCACGTTGTATTTGAAACCCAGTAATTAGCCAACATAAATAGCTTCATTGTAACTTGCTACAATTGCTAGGTTTCAGCTAAGTATTGACCTAGTTTCCATGGCTACATCAAGAATGGAATGATTTAATAGATAGAGATTTAAAACTCATTAAAACGAAGAATTCGTCATTTTAGATGACTTATATTAAGTGTAGGTAATTTATAAATTAAGTGTTAACCTATTAAAGTAATTTTAATACATCGGTTTTTAAAAAAAAATCAAACTTTCTAATTTATTTAAATAAAACACTTTAACGGTTCGAAACGTGAAAAATATTAATTAAACGGGTAGAAGCATAGAGCGTGTCGAAAATAAATTGAAAACATGTTCGACTCAGGCAGGACTTGAACGGCATCGTCAGCGTTCCATGTGTTAAGGTTCAATGTCTTATGATTTGCAGCTTTAAAAAATCTTTTAAGGAGACATTACAAAGTATAACGTATGAAAACTTAAATATTCTTTACTCATCGTGTAATAGAGCGCAACGCTGACGATGCCGGTGCAAGTCCTGCCCAAGTCGTAATTTTTTTATATTTATTTTCGATTTTTAATCTATATAGTGGAAAATAACATTTAAGGTTTCTATTGTCTAGTAAAAACTTATTTCGCCATCGCGATACGACTGCTGCAAAGCGTCCGAAACGTGTGGCCGTAGTTAAAATAATTTTTAAATAAGTTTACCTGACATATATCACTTTTTAAACAGTTAAAGTGTTTTATTTAAATGGGTACTACTCGTGTAAACTACAGACATTATCTAACTAAAATGATTTTGAAAACATTAATATTATGCACATGAAGGCACTATATAAATTAAAATTATTTTAATATATATTATTAAACATAATCTATTATTAAAATATATATAACTACATATTCGCGGTATTCAATTCACGCTTTGGTTTTTTTTTTTAATTTTCGTGATAAGTAGCTCTCAATTCTACTCAATAAAGTTTCAGCGACAGAAATGCTTACCCTTATTGTACTACAATTCCTGAACACAGATTTGGCTTCAGCTTCGGGATTGAACTCAGTCGCAATTCCTGCTTCGAACCGAGTAGACATCCCGTTTTGTAAGTTAAAATTCTAACACCTATTTGATTATTTATTTTTTGTTCACGCTTTTCAAGACGAAGCTTGTGATAGACTGCTATTATATATTTAAATGGATATCATCTAATATCTGCTGATCTTTCAACAATCATTCAAATATTCTTTCCGCACCTTTTATATTTTAATATTTACGAGTTGGCCACCAACCGGCTGAGAAGAATTCTTAGAACTTACTAGCGACTAAATTAAAGTAACATTGTGTTAGAAAGTCCTCTTTTCAAGTATAAATGTTTTCAAGGAATTCTTTGTCTATGGCTTCATGTTGAACTGGTTTCGTTAGAATCATTTTCCGTTTGTAGAATGTACAGGTATATTTCACATTGCCTTCCTTTTCCATTGTCTTTGTTCTAAGTTCTAGTTTTGTGTTAGTCATAGTAACTATAATAAGCAGTTAATTTGTATAAGTCTAGATTGGTTGCTGGGCCGACGACATTTTTACACTTCTCTTCTACTATTTTATTATTTTTCAGAAATTCTGTCAAAATGCTGGGTGGCAGCATCTTATGGTTCCGACATGGCCTTCGTCTCCATGACAACCCAGCTCTCCGAAATGCCGTCAATGATAGGTCTATGCCGTTCTTCCCCATCTTTGTATTTGATGGGGAAACTGCTGGTACGTTAGTCTTATTACAATAATTTAGGTAAAAAAATAAGGAACAACATGGCTGTACTGAAGCCGGCATCGATAGCGTTCCTTGCGCTGTACTTGCGGAAAATTCTGTCCACCTATGATAGCTATCGCGCATTGTGTCATTTGTAATGTGAAAGCACCTTTATATCATTTTTAAGAGGAAAATGAGAGGAATTAGTCATATTCGTAAGATGTAAATTTGTATAAGACAGACTTTTACATAAAGTTTTTTTGCACTGTTTTTTGCAAAAAATATGTTGTAGCGTGAATGCTAGGCCGTAAGAAAAATATACCACTTTGATTCGTCGAAATATTTTATTAAATATAACAAATTAAAACAATGATATGTGTTTTTTAGGTACAAAAGTTGTAGGTTACAATCGTATGCGATATCTTCTTGAGGCTTTGAACGATCTGGATAACCAGTTCCGGCAATATGGCGGGCGTCTGCACATGATTAAGGGGAAACCGGCAGATGTCTTCAGGAGGCTTTGGGAAGAGTTTGGTAACTACATAAATACTAATCCATTTAAAGCTTTACAGTCGCTAAGTTCTATATCATTCCATTACCTCCATATCCATGACTTTCAGCCAATGGTAAACAAAATGTAAATAAAAAATAATTACTTACTTCATCAGTAATTAAGTCTATTTAATAAACATAAAAAAAAGTAAAAACCTTGAAACAATTCGATCGATCAGAATAGTACCTGGATGCCAGTCTGTAATATAACTTTATAACATATTTGCTCGTAAAAAATAAAAACTTGTAATTTTAAACTTATATTATGATGTACTATTAACGTTTTAATATAAGACGCTAGCTGTCACTTCCAGCTATCAAATTATGAAATATATTAGTTATAATTTGCTTATTTCAATTTTAACTGCTATACAATCCGGGTTTATGCTGAATATGGTAATCTGATACCGGATGTGCATTTGTTTGATTTTACATTTAATTTAGGCGTACAAAGGAGATTGTAATATATATAATTTGTTTCTTGATTGAAAATAAATTTATATAATCGATTCCACCGTTCGGTGTCCACTGCTAGGCCTCCCCCATAGACTTCCAGTACGACCGGTCGTTCGATAGTTGAATCTAGCGTTTCCCTGCTACCTTGACGAGGTCGTCGGTCCACCTGGTAGGAGGTCGTCCAGGTTTTCGACGTCCGATTCGTGGTCTCCACTCAAGAACCTTTTTGCCCCAACGGCCGTCAGTTCTACGAGCGATGTGCCCGGCCCACTTCTACTTCAGCTTGCCAATTCGATGGGCTATGTCAGTGACTTTAGTTCTCCTACGGATCTCCTCATTCTTGATTCGATCACGCTATTTATGTAATAATAACCTAAAGTTTATTAGCTTTTTAATGAATATAATAAGTGGCGTTTTGTGACTAGAAACTCCTAAGAAAGACCTTATTTTTCGGATAAATGCCCTTCTTATCATCAATACAGTGTGTATACAATCATTTACAAGCATGCTGGTCACGATATAGAAACCACACTATTAAATAAACTATCGTACAGTGCTTTTAAACCCAGGAGAAAATGTAGGAGGAACCTTAGCATTTTTCCAAATGGTGAAGTATATAGCGCAATCGATCTTTAAAGTATTTGAGTAAAGTATCCTTTATATAAAATATCTTTAAAAAACTTTGGTCTTCGATAGGAATCAGCAAAGTTTCCTTCGAGCAAGACTGTGAGCCGATTTGGAGGGACCGCGACGAGAGTGTTCGCGCCACTTGCAAAGAGGTCGGAGTCGGATGTTACGAGTTTGTGTCGCACACACTGTGGGACCCAGATACTGTGATACGAGTCAACGGGGGTATTCCGCCACTCACCTATCAAATGTTTTTGGTATTTACCTATACTTTTTAAATCTTTTGACGATTAAACAGAAAAACCCACCATTTTGACTGGCTGGTCTAATGGTAGCAATATGACTTCGTCTGCATATTAAATGGTGGTAGGGATATCATAATTCTTTCTAGGTTTGTTTGTGGATTTCCAAATCTCCAAAGCCAAAATAGGTCGACTCGTATTCATGACAATAAGATTTAATGTTTTAATTTTCAGCATACAGTGGCTATAATCGGAGATCCTCCAAGGCCTGTAGATGACGTGGACCTGGGATTGATAAATTTCGGTGTGTTGCCAGACTCGTTCTATAAGGAATTTGAAGTTTTCGACAAGGTAACATTTATTTCTTCTTTGAGACTGAAAATGTATTACTGTCTTTTTATACAATTTGCTTTGAAATATCGTTGCTTGTTAAAAAGGCACCAAAGCCGGAAGATCTCGGTGTGTTTCTCGAGAACGAAGATATTAGAATGATTCGCTGGGTTGGCGGTGAACGCGCTGCTCTAGCGCAAATGGAGCAAAGGCTGGCTGTTGAACACGAGACGTTTTGCAAGTGAGTTTCGTAGCAAAACTTAGTCCCAATATATAAAGGCTAAGCCCAAATAAATAAAATGTTGGTTATTTTTTTTGTTGGGACTATAGTTTAATACATATTTGTCTTTTGAAAACTTTATTATTTCTTACATGTGTTGCACATGAAGCCACTATATAATTTAAAAAACGAAAATAAATTGAAAAAAATTTGGACTCGGGCAGGACTTGAACCGGCATCGTCAGCTTTCAAAGCAACAGCACGAAAGCTGACAGCACGAAAGTCCTTTTCTTTCAATTTATTTTCGATTTTTAAAAAATATATTTGTCCTATGTTACTTAATATTTCGATTAAAAATCTATTTCAGATTTGCTTAGATGCTTTGCAGCTTAAGAAAATCATAGAAGATGAAATATTTTGATATCACAGTGCATAAAAATGTTTCGATTCCAGGGGTTCTTATCTTCCGACACACGGCAGTCCCGATTTGCTGGGCCCGCCCATTTCGTTGAGTCCAGCTCTCCGTTTCGGATGTCTATCTGTTAGAAAGTAAGAAATATATCTATATTAATATATTTCTTACTTTATATATATAAAGCTGAAGAGTTTGTTTGTTTGAACGCGCTGATCTCAAGAACTACTTGTTCGAATTGAAATTATTTTTGTGTTGGTTAAAGCATTTATCGAGGAATGCTATACGCTATAAAACATCGCCCTGGGACTGACAAGCTACAGCAGGAAATTTGAAAGAAATTGGGAAAATTATTCAACGTTATCATCATTGCTAAACGGTTTATAATAGCCAAAGAATATGATCGAAATAATGATTCCTTATAATACCGCGACGCTATATGTGTCTATCTTTTGAGATTAACGACGGGTCGCGCCTGACTTCGTGGCGCGGAGGTTCACAAAAATAAATTTTGTTTACCCAAAATAACTGTTCTTCGCGGACTTAGTCGCTGTCATATAGCTGGTATATAATACATACCACAATTTAATAACATATCCTAAAACGGTAACCACATTTACAGGTTTTATTGGTCGCTTCAAGATCTATTCCAGCGTGTACATCAAGGACGTTTATCATCCAGTCAATTTATCGCCGGTAATTATATTTTAGTTTAAATTAATCAATCTTATTTTTTTTCCTACGGCCCGACATTTCGGATGCCTTGCAGCAGCCGTGGTGACGGGGAGACTCAAGATGGAAGGCGGCTCTGATGTCAAAGAAAAAGCTACGCTAGCACCATCTGTTCCGTGGTAGTTTGTGTTTAGAGAGACGTCGGGGCGTAGTAAAAATAATTTCCAAATAAATTTAACTAACTGTTAGTTTTTTTATTTAAATAGAAGTTGTATAATCGATTGAAACCAGGTCAACTAATATGGCGCGAGTATTTCTACACGATGAGTGTGAACAACTCAAGCTATGCGCAGATGGAGGGCAACCCTATATGTCTCGATGTGCCTTGGCGGCAACCACAAGCAGATGAATTGCAAAGGTAAATTCGGTAATTTTATTTAAACCGTTAAAGTGTTTTATTTAAATGTGTACTACTCGCGTAAACTATAGTCGGTAATTTTATTTCTGTATTCCGTTGGTCAGGATACTTATCTATACAGATAATACAAATGTAACCAATTGCTGTATGTACACAGTCGATATATGATGAAAAATATTATAAGAGCATATATGAGGCTGTTAGACGTAGAGTTGCCTAATAACAAAACACATGATTTTCAATAAGGATCAAAATTAAAATGCGCAATTAACGTAGGCGAAAATGAATTTTATAATAAAGTAAGTAAAATATGTAAACAAAAGGGTCGATAATCGTTTACCTATTCTAACCTCAAAAAAGTCAGTTGTCATTGTTTCTGTTATGGTAGATGGAAGGAAGGTCGCACTGGCTTTCCATTCATTGATGCAGCGATGCGTCAACTGCGTACTGAAGGTTGGTTGCATCACGCAGTGAGAAATACGGTCGCATCATTCCTCACACGTGGTACCCTTTGGCTGTCTTGGGAACATGGCTTGAAACACTTCCTCAAGTATTTGCTGGATGCTGACTGGTAAGTGGGTTTCAATAGAATATTAGGTAGCTAATATGTATAATGTAAATTACTTCTATACATAGAAGTAAGTAGAAGCTCGGTACTGACTCGGTAGCTCAATTGGTAGAGCAATAGCACGGAACGCTGACGATGCCGGTTCAAGGCCTGCGTGAGTCGAAAATTTTTTCAATTTATTTTCGATTTTTAAATGGCAATATTATTAGCATTAATTTTCAGAACTCGGTAGTCATTGCATTAAAATTACGTTATACATACATTAAACACATGATAATATTAATATTTTTCACATATTATTGCACATGATGGCAGTAAGTATATAAATTAAACATCGATTCTAAATTGAAAAAACTTTAAATTATAACATTAATGCCTTTTATACTTAAATAAGTAAATATATATGTTTAAGATTAAAATTCAAGCTAACACACTTTTAGATAAATGCTTTTATTGAGGAACATGCTTATTTTATAAAATATAAATGTACACTGCATATTACCAGGTCAGTGTGTGCTGGTAACTGGATGTGGGTGTCATCTAGTGCATTTGAGGCCTTACTGGACTCTGGTGAATGCGCTTGTCCAGTCCGACTGGGACAAAGACTGGAGCCAAGCGGGCAGTATGTGAGGAGATATGTTCCTGAACTGACCAATATGCCTGATAAGTATATGTATGTTGTCTGTAAAGAGTGTGTGTATGTAAAGAGATTAAGTTATAAAAGAAATTAAACATATAGAGTTGCATCTACAATCGAAAATAAATTTTCTTACTTTTGTCATTGATAAGCCATATATAAAATAATGATTCCCGTAACTAACTTGTTGTCATGCCCAAACGTGTTTCTGGTCTAGGTCGGTAAGTAGGTCTATTATAACTTAATACATACTACTTGAGCCACAAAATCAGAGGCACTGTGTTTTAAAATATGCAAACTGTTATTGCTAAATGCAAATGCAATTTCCGAAAATGAAGACCAGTGAAAAATCGCGATTAAGAATAAGTATTGTTAGCTATAGTGGTTTACTCAATACTAAATATTTTTTCAGATATGAACCGTGGAAGGCACCTATGGAAGTACAGCAGCGTGCAGGTTGTGTGCTGGGACGTGATTACCCGCCACCCATTGTTGATCACTTGGAAGCGGCTGTGAGAAACCGAAGCGCTATGCAGGTTAAAAATTCATGTACTTCTAAAGCTGCTTCATTAATACCTCAATAAGACCTTACATTAACAGAATAAATAGTAAATATTAGTCTTTTCAAAAGGAAATATTGTTTTTGTGACTAAACCCTACTGATGTTTATATGTTATTTTAGGAACTTCGTCGTATATTGGACAAGGCACAGCCCCACTGCTGTCCCTCATCGGAAGAGGAAATTCGTCAATTCATGTGGCTCCAAGACGTGCCACAGCCCGATGTTGCCACCTCTTAGATTGAGGAAACTCAAGAAGTATTCAGTACCATAATAACATTCCTTTGGTAATTATATCGGCTAAACATATTAGTGCGAGTAATATCCAACTCTATACAAATGTTACTTACCAATTAATCTGTTAAGAACCTAAGCAGAGACCCATGATTCCTATATTGTCTCGAATTTTTAGTTAAGTGTAAAGTACTAAGTACGAAAGAGTTTTAGGGACTTCTTAATTAACCGTAAGGATAAACTTGTCTATTAGGCTTTATACGCCATATTTTTAGAAACATGATTCTTATTCTCATAGGTGTATTTTCTTTATTGTAAAACATAAACAATGGGAAGATGTAGCGTAGTTAAACTACTGAAGTGATTTGTGTTTCTTATAAGTATTTTAAATATAACTATACATTTTTCAATAGTACATAGATAAATGAGAATCTTATTAGGAAATTATGACAGATATTTATGTTTTTTTATTGATGTGATAGGTGTATTTTATTGTTCATGAATCAAATAAATGTACTATGTTTGTTTTCACATGTTTTATTTTTAACAACAAGGAATGATAATGATACATAGTTCTTATTTGAATTAAAAAAACTTAACACCTTAATACTGTACATAAATGGTTTTGAATAAAAATTCCCGATACATAAAGTATATAGAACCTATATTCTTAGTATACTTGAAAACTGAAATATTTTGTTTTAAAGGTATATTTTATTATTTATCTGTTGATTGTAATCAAGATGTGCAACATTTTTCTTATTATATAAAATAAATACCTTGAAAACAAAATATGCGTTTTAAGATTTCTCATCATGTACCATTGCTAACCATTCCTGCTAACTGACTGACTATTTCATTAAACACTTTACTAGTGGTTGCTTCTGGTATTTCCCTGACTGCTGGCAAACCCTTTCCTGCCAGTTGTCCCACTCGAGGATCGATTGGTAATGTACCCAAAAATGGGAGTTTTGCAATTTCAGCCAATGATTTTCCACCTCCACTTGAAAATATATTTGTGCAATGACAACATGTGGGACATTCATACCTGAAACATTACCAATAAACGAAAATTACCCTAAAACACAGTTAACAATTGTAAAAATGCATGTTATTTAAAAATGTAATATAAATTTTGCAATTATATTTTTTTTATTTACAATTTAAATAACTCATGTAAAGTTTATCATTGTAAAACATTTAAGAACTAACCCACTCATATTTTCAATAATACCCAATATGGGTATATTAGTCTTTCTACAGAAGGTTATTTCTTTACGAACATCTTCGATGGATACCTCTTGTGGTGTAGTTACTATCACTGCTGAACAATGTTGCACTTGACGCAGATTTTCCATCACTGTGATGTGTTCATCTGATGTTCCTGTAAAATTGTTCACATACAATTTAATTATATACACAAGAAAATATCGAGATGTCAATGAGAACTTTAAACATTTATACATTTTTATAACACTGTAAAATTATTTTAAATTTTACCTGGAGGTGTGTCAATTACAAGAAAATCCAAATCTTGCCAGCAGACATCTTCTAGAAACTGTTTTATCATTGAAGTCTTTTTTGGTCCCCTCCAAACAACCGCATCATTTCTTGAATTCAATAAAAAACCAATAGACATAACACCTAACCTCTGTTCTTTGTCTAGGTAAACAGGAATCCATCCTTCAGGACCTTGATGTATATTTTGCCCTTCTAAGTTTAAAATGTAGGGAACACTGGGTCCACAAAGGTCTATATCTAAGAGACCAACCTGAAAAAAATTAGGTGAAACAATTGACATAGATTACTTTTCATATTAGTTATTTTATTAAAGGTTTTACATGAAACAAAAAAGGTATGTTATGTTTGTAGGTGTCCCTAAAAAACTTGAATATTGAAATATTTTTTTAAAGAAACTATCTATTTTACACAGGCGATACAATGATCCATCATCACCATTAACAAACTTAGCTACTTTAAAGCAGTGTTTTCTAACCTTAAATCCTTTCTCTTTTAAAGTAAGTGCAAGCTGAGTACTGACAGTCGATTTTCCAACCCCTCCTTTTCCAGAGAGGACTAGAATAATTTGTTTTACTTGATCTAACATATTGTGGGTTTTTTATTTCTAAATAGAATAAATGTACTAAAATTTACATATATATATATTTATTTTATTATCATAACAGAAATGACGTTTGACATGTTTGACCCTGTAATGGTGTAAAGGTGTCAATTATCATTTATAGGTAATACTTTACATTGACCATCTAACAAAGCGTCAGTTTGATATTATGTCGCCATATGTAAACTAAAAAAAATCACTAAACAAAACTAGAATTAAACTGAGTACCTATACTCAATTTGGTGACGTTATTTGTTAGTTATTACGGTAGAAAACATATATCTTGAATAATATAATCCCTTACTTATAAAAATTTATTCTTTTAACAATTTGAAAGTATTATTTTTTTAAATGAAGTCATAGATCTAAAACACTATTAAAGTATTAACACACACGGATAACATTCCTTGAAACAGCGCCTGCGTAGTGTTGAATAGAGTAGTAAATGGCAATACAAATAACATGAGTGGCGCCGTCTAACGTCTTGTTAATGTTTTCGATTTTCAGTTTTCTAAAGATTTCTTTGAGTTGAGGATGTTCATATTGCTTGTGGATTTTATTTATCAGAGATGCTTTATTTCTGTTACTTCATAACAGATTATTTGACGTTTTGTGACATAAACACTTTGTGATATCGATTGTAGTTTTGTAGTTCAAATTTGGAATAATGTTTTACGTGTACTAGTGTTTTTATTTGCGTCGAATCTTGAGTGGTTGTGCACGGTCGTCTGTCAAGATTTTATGCTTAGTCCAACATCTACTTCTATCACATAGATAGGTAAGAAAAACTGTATTATACCGATTTCTAAATCACTCTTTGAAAGATAAAAATGTTATTATATTAGTTTGTATCTATGAGTCAATAAAATGGTCTTTAAGTTACATCATGCGGGTACCGAAAAATAAGCTATGCTCAAGGTATTAATCCTTTAAATTATGATATATATATTTAATTAAAGTGCTCAAATTAATACTATATAATCAAAGCCAAACTTCCCTTTTACTTGCTCCCTTCTCAACTTAACTAAAACAATATCTCATGATCATCAATAATTTTCTACTGAAATAAAAAATATATGTTTTTATTTCAACCCCGGCATAACAATACAGCATAATATCTAAGTTCTCTTTATTCCTACATGTATACTACATTTAAATAAAACACTTTAACGGTTTAAAACGCGATATATTAATATATCGCGTTTTAAACCGTAAAGTGTTTTATTTAAATGTGTACTACTCGCTAACTTGACAGTATGTATACTACAGTTAAATATAGACTTGTTATGTTAAGCTTAAGTACTACATGTAATTAAACAATGCAATATTTAATATTTATTTAAACACAACAGATAAATTGAATAATAAAACTTATGTTAAATTACTCTGATCTAAACTTGTTTTACCACAAAAATGTATCATACAATAAAAATTTCTCACACACCTAAGTAAGTCAATTTCTTTTTACTAGTAAACTTATACTTTTTAATTATAAATATATTAAAAGTATCATCACTCATATAATTACTTAAAGAGAAAATTAAGTTCAGTTGGGGAAAGCATGAGTCATTTTATTATCATACAGTCCATGTGGGGTCAAAGTCAAATCCCTAACAAGGAATGATAAATATTCCGATAGATGAATAGTTTTAATTTATGCAACATTTCTAGTTAGTTATAATTGAATAATAAAATCAACATACTTTCAAGTGTGTACATTTTTAAACATACTTATAACAAATAAATTACCTAAGGTTTTTCTCATAAAATCACTAAGTATGCTCACGACATTTTTAAGATTTTATATTGTGTAAATACGTTTAATTTTTTTTTCATCGTAAAAATCGATGTACAGTGTTATCGTATCCAAGGCGAAGACCCCATTCGTAGCAACATCCTTATAACTTACCCATAAATCAAGGCGCGTTCGTACTAACTATTATTGGATACATCCAGCTGCTTGTACAGATTAGTCACACTGGAAACATACTGTTAGCTATACTTTTCACAGATTAAAAAGCTTTAAGTTTTTTTGATATTGCCAGTATTTTAATTTAGGCTTTAATATCGGAACATTTATGTAATATTATTAGTTACCTATATCTAATTACGTAAAATCACTGAGAAAAGACATATCAGGGCAATCATTATAATTAAGTTTATTAATTTTTTAATTAAAAAATATTACGATCGGCGTAGAAATCCAACCTTTTTTCGAGAAATTAAGACGTACGAATTTAGAAACTATATCGCGTTTTTATTTCTATAACATGCATTCTGTGAGGGACAATCTCCACCCCTCAATGCAGCTATTTCACCCCCTAGCTTGCTTTTAGAGCAATTTGCACCCCCACCAACACGAAAGACTCTTGACCCTACCCACAATATATAATTCCGGAAACTTTTGCCCATAATACATAAAATGCATTTAAATCTAACAAGAAATTGGAATCGGAAAACAGCTTTTGCAATTAATTAAAACTAATTGACCGCAAACGTTCTTTCGACGAAACTTGATTGTCATAAATATGGTTCAATATAAGGTAAGCTTAAGAGATAGACACACACAGTCGGGGCTATTTTTTTATTTAAAGAAGATTAATTCGTTTTTACATATTTTTTGCGTCATCTTGAAGCTTTTTTGCAGTGCACGCAACGGAATCTCTCGAAGTCGCAACCGAATATTTTATTAAGGTTTCCTGGACAAATGGTCCATCCAAGGCGAAATAATCCTTCAAACAAACTCTTCAGCTTTATTTATATAAGTATATGTAGATAGGGGTAGATGTAAAAATTGTAAGATTTGTCGATGTTATTATTTTGCGGTGACTCAAACTAGTCTTTACATCTCCACCATTTAGTTGATTTACTTAATTTTGTAGATGAACTCATTTGATCCATTTTTTGAATTAATAACTGTACATAATATAATAATACAATAACTCGCGTTAAGCCGACGTTTAATTTTTTTGGGTTCGTTAAAAATTAAAAAATCCTAATTGAAAATTGCTTTTATCCCTGACATCGTTACACAAAATTTTTCGCTTCGGGGTAAATTTGAATTTGATTTATTTTCTTGTAGAAAAAGTTATGTCTTTGAATTAAATACCATTTAGTGCAATTAAGGTATCGGGTTACTTTTAAAATTACATTTACTATTATAATTGGCTTCGTTTACTATTGTTTCCTCAAAGGCACTATCAAAATGACTTTTCAACCCAATTTAGTTGTATTTGATGTTTGATCAAAGTAAGGTATTACTCGATTTCGTTTTTTTCTGTCAATTTAATAGGACGCTGGCAGAATTTAAGATATTTGTAAAATAGGTAAATATATATTTTTAAAAGTATTTACGTTCTTGTTTTTTTGCAATTTTCATGATCTGGTTACACACAATACGTTTATGTGTAGATATTTATTTACGTACCTACATTTTTCTGTAAGCATGTAAGTATAGAGTTTTCTTTTAATAAAAATATATAATAATACTTATATAGTAATCGTATATAGTAGTATAGTTTCATATTGATCTAGGTAGGTAAAATCGTTGTGGTAAATAAAATATTATTTAAAAGAAATCGAACCCCTCAAGTTGGTTCTCATCTCAATTTCGATGTTTATACACGAAGCCGGTAACGAACGAAAGAATCCAATCAACTCCCCTAACGAAAGTCTTCGAATTGTGCGATACCGGCATTGGGAGACGTATTTTGGATGAGTGACCGCGTAAATTAGATTATGCTACTCTATAATTGCTTCGTTTCTTTAAATAACTGATTTTATAAAAATATTAAGCACAATCCACGTTAATCTTAATATTTTTTATGGTAGCATTGTATGGCTAACAATCAACGCATCGTGGGTTAAATCCCCAACGTGCCCATGTTTCTAATTAATTGAGACAAAATAAATACATTTTATTAGTAGCCTGCGTAACGTATTAAATTTTAAACAACTACCTTCCCATAGGTATACATTTCTCAAAAATCGATTGGAACGGTTGCGAAGTTAGAGCGCGATAATGACACACAGACACACTTTCACACATAACATTAATATGGATTATTTGTATAAATACACACTTATCTAGCACCTAACTTGCAATATACACCTTGACACGAAATAAAATGTCAATGCTAGATTTTGACCTTATCGTCAGGCTGGAAAGTGAGTAGTTGTTAATTTCAATTACTTATTTTATTAGGAACTAGCTTTGACTGTGCTTCGTTAGGATTTGTTATTTTTCGTATCAAAAAAACTTATAAATAACCAAAGGTAGATTTAGGTCCCGTCGCGGACATATTTTTTAGATCGTTTAAAGAGGAATCGTGGGTATCTTGAACCATTTCGCAGCGCCTTAAAAGATAAATAATTTTTCCCGTTTTTTTTACATTCTCCTCTGTTTCTTTATCTATAAATGCTCTAACCAACAAGTTCCTTAGATTAGCGCGTTTAACAAACAAACTCTTCAGCTTTATAATATTAGCATAGATAATATATTGGATATGTATTATTAATGAACATTGTTTTTTTATCTCACATAATTTTTTCATGTAAGAATTATACATTTTGCAACAGTAGAACTAATTAAACAGTCAACTATATTATTGTTACAGTAATTATATTGTTGTTATGTAATTATTGTTTCCGAGTACAAATAAAAATTCTCTGCAATGCAATTGTCTGTGCATTTTGTTATCTGAACTCGTGGGTGGAATGCGTCCCGGCCAGTTTGATAAAGTTTAATATTTTGTTTAGTCTGTGCCTTCTCTGATGCATATAAATTTCATGAGAGACAGTCCGAACTCACATTTTTTAACTTGACACTGGCAAATAGTTAATTCTTCTTGCCACAAATGAAAGAAAAACTCTGTCTTTCATTTGTCTTGTGTTGTTCTCTTAGTTCATGTCAATAGATCGTGATTTAAGATCTATAATTAATATTATAACGAAAATAACTCTGTCTGTCTCTCCCGCTTTAACTC